AAAACACTAACCTCCACGCTCACTCCTGCACAAATAATCAGTGAGGTCATGTTTGTGTTAAAACTCGGGGTTCTCTGGTGGCAAAGCTCCCGTCAGCTTTTCTGACAGCCACAGATGGACTGTTTTACATGTTCAGATAACACAGAGCGTCTTGAGTGACGGTTCCAGTCGACTCTCCCGCATGCAGAGCTGTCGGCTGAAAAGTTCCTGCCAGCTGCAGAAATACTGGAAATGCTGAGCGGAGCAGGTGGATGTTAGTGTTGGAGGCTGAGAGGTGGAGGACTGACGGGAAGGGCGGTTTCCATGAAGCTTTGCCATCACTCCAGAGTATTTACACAAAACCTGTGAACTTTGAGACCTCCACGCACCTACACAAACACGGAGCGTTCATGGAGATCAGCGCTGAGTCTGATCAAAGTTTGGATAAAGATGACGGTAATTCAGACTCACCCCAGAGGCCTCAGCTCAGGATACATGAGCCAGATATGCATAAATACGAGCTCCGTTATTGGAACATTTTCAGTCTTTGCCTCTACATATTTCTTCTTTTGTCCTGATAACAGTAGGATGACCATATTCTGAATCCTCCAAAAGAGGACACGACTATGCGGGGATGGAGTCACGGAGTCACATGTAGGTAATTTTGAGAGTTTTGCAGGTCGGATCGAGTGTTTTTTAGGTGTTTTTAACTCAGTAAATCCATGTGACACAAACTCAAAACTTGAGTGTTGTTCGCGAACAATTCGTTCAAGAGAACCGATTCTTTTGAGTGAACGTACTGAACTGAATCACTTCCTCGAGTGATTTGTTCGTTTCTCACTTCAGTTGAGTTGAAGTGAGAAACAGCATTGCCAGTCAAGCAGCCGGCGAACGAGGGACCGCATGCACTGACGCCTGAATCACTTGGTGAATAAAGCACGCATTGAACTACTACTACTACTATCATTTTTGTCAGACAAAACTACATTTTTTTTACTGCTAAATTGCCACCACAACAAGTTTTATACAATAGGACACATCATGTAACAAGTAGTGCATTAAACCTGCAGCATCCTATCATTGAATTCTTCTAAACGTTCAGTGAACGAATCACTCACTGAGCCCAATTTACCGAGCAGACCTGATAAACAGCACACCATAGGACAGTACACTTTAAACATCATGACTTATAAACAAGTTTGTTTTTACAAACCTGTTAGGAAAAGCAACACAGACAAACACTCTCGTCTCCCGGTCCCAGAAGCAAAGAATTGAACTGAATCCTGAACCGTTCTGCTCTGTATCAGATCAGGAGGTCGGTGTCGCAGGCTTCTCCCACCAAGCACTACATGATTCGGTGATTTGGTGAACGAATCTTTTTAGTGAACTGATTTAAGTTAACTTCCACACAAAACCTCAGACATTTGTGGGATTTTATGAACTCCCCCAGACAAGGCCGGACATCCCCCAAAAAAGAGGACATGTACGGGTGAAAGAGGATATATAGTCACTTTCGATAACAGCCGTACTGATTTCTGTTTTAATGAGGTGAGAAAGATCATTATGAGAAAGAAGCGTGGATGCAGAGAGGAGCTTTTCCTGCAGAACATTTGCTGCAAATCAGTGAACTCTGAACTCGGCCTGTAACAGAAAAGCATCGCTTGTATTTTGCATCTTGGATTCATCATCATCATCATTATCTTGTTAATGAAAACCAGACACATATCCATCAGAAGTATCCAAGAGGGCAGTTTGCTGAGTGAAGACAGCGGCAGGGTAATTCACTAGACTAAAACGTCTCGAGTTTTCATCGACTCAATTTTAACTAAAACTCTGAATATAAACATTTAAAATGCAGCTAAAACTAACAGGCATTTCCTTCTGAAGACAAAGACTTCACCTTAAGTAGCTGACAAATCAGGGAACAGGCTCCTCCTCACCCACCCCTCAATACCTTCTCATGGGCCTAACTTGACTAACAGAGGTGAGAGGTTCAGTGCTGCTCATTCTCCTGCATGTATCTTCAAGTCTGGGTCGTGGGGGACGTCAGGGGCCATATGGTGGGTTACATAACTCGTTAGTAGAGCAGAAGTATTTGGCCTAGAGAGACAGGCTCCTCCACTCAGCTCTGTTGTTGTATTGTCACCGTCCTCGGAGGATTCATTAACTTTCAAGTCAAAGGTGTTTTCTAGCCGCTCCAACGACACCGAGAGTATCTGGCAGAGTTACAGAGAAGGCCGGACTCTGTTTCAGTCACAATAAGAGGGAAAGTTTGGCTCATTTTCAGACGTATTTGTCCTCACGTATCGAAGAGGATGATTGTGTGGAGACAGAAAAAAAACAATGGAGACAGAAGTCCACAAACATCTGTGCAAAGTGGCCGTGATGGGGAGGTTTTCGGTTCTGTTTGGACCCACTTCTGAACAGGAAACCGCTCAGACAGACATGATGACTCCCATCATGCCGTTCTGCAGCAGTTTTGATTGAATTACTCTGGCAGGCTGGAGGAAAGGAGCCCAGGTTATGTCTGGGCCGCAGAGGAGCATTCTGGGAAGAGAGGTATTAAAGACGCTCTGGATGAAATTCAGTCTGTTTTAGAGAATCAGAAAAGTAAATTAAGTCTTAATTTTCAAGAATAACATCATAGATTTAAAAAGTACGCTAACCTCTGTAAGATTTAACAACACAAGCTGCAGTAAAAATGTTTACTCTACCACCTGAACTGTTAAAATCATCCTTTCACACAGGTTATTTATGAAAAAAAGGAAAATGTAATGAAACCTTTCTTCCTTTTCTTTCATGATATTATAAAATACAGGCTTCCTGCAGAGGAACAAATGAGGAGCATGATATTTTAGTGCAGCTAATGGACAGGTTTGTGTCTGCAAAAGGACAGCAAATGGATAAGTGAAGCTGAACTCAAGTTTTCTTCTCCTCTTAGTTTAATCTATCAAAAAAGGATGTACCATGAATTGGAAAGTATTACATTTTGCAGGGAGGAGTTTTAATTGTTTGCCTGCAATTAAAAAAAAGAAATGTTGCAGTGAACCATGAGGAGAGGTGAGGTTAGACTGCCCAGTGTCTAACGCCATCTAGTGGTGCCTTCAGTGACATACACCGGCAAACAGAGAAAAGCAAACTTCAGACAAATCCATAAAGTGATTTCTCAGGATTTCAAATATTTTGGTGCCCTTCATCATTTTTGCCCTCAGCCATAAGAGCAGGAATCAAACCCTCGAGGTTTAGATGTCAGGTTTCCCTGCAAGATAAACAGATTTAATTTCACTTAACTTTCATTTGTTTCCACATGCAACAAGACTGTATTTTCAGGGTGTTTCAGTAAATGCAGATTAGACCGAGTGTGAAGTGTGAAAGTGAACTGACAAAATAATAAATCTGATGTAAGAAGCTGCACAATGGTGAGTGTCCTGAGCTGATGGGGGTTTGACGACTTGCTTCACAGCACATCAGTATTACCTCCGAATATGTGACTTATGGTGTACCACAAGGATCACTACTGGGACACAAGTTTTTCATACTCCATTTAATGATATTTGAAGTGTCTCTGATAATTTAAAATTTGTGATTCCAATTTATTTTGTCCTGGGGGTGATATAAAGAAACAATTAAAGACGCTAGAATAAAAGTTGATTGAGCTGCTGTAGGTGATGATCACCTGGACGGCTTGTGTTTGATTCTGACCTGCAGCTCTTTCCCACCTTCTCTGCTTGTTTTCTAGCCTATCCACTGTCCTGTCTTATCAAAAATAAAAGCATAAACCCCAAGAAAAAAGGGGCGTGGCTGACTTGATTGACAGGTAAGCATGTTGTAATCAGCAACCTAGATTCCTCCCGTGTTTTATACAGTCACTGATCTGCACTAAATTTGGCAGTGATCCGTCTATAGCTTCATAGCGTCGTATTAAAGCTGTTGAGATATTTCAGTCCGGATCAGAGAGTTGGACGGAAACACAAGTCAATTAACGGTGATATTTTTAGTCACTAATGCAACCACAGGCTAAAATTAAACCCTGAATCCTCTCCTGCTCTATGATTCATGATCTCTTCACATTTGAGAGACCTCCTGACCTCTCATCTGTCACCACTCTCAGGATAATCTTGACACTCTTATCTTTATACAGGAAAAGCTCTAATTATAGACAGATCTCACATATCTTCAGGATGTTGTTGTTGTTGTTGCTCAGGGCTGCAGATTGTGTCATGTTGTGTGTGGAACACTGCAGCCTCTATGGGGCTCCAGCAGGATGTCACCATTGTCACAAAGCAGGTCCTGTGGTTGCTGTGAATGCTCCTTTAACTTCTCATGTATGGCCTCTGCTCTGTGTTTTATACAGCAGAGTGCAGAAGCAGCTGGTCTGCAGATTAGTTTTAGTGTTAATGCTTCTGACTGGCTTTAACCCTGCAGCAGGACCTGCAGGACACAGACCTCTGCCGCCATTTATCCATATGCCACCAGCGCCTTCACACCCTTCCTCCTGCTTCTCTTTGTGATGACAGAAAAGGGTTTTGACCTTTACAGAACAAGTTAATTGAAGTTCATTCATAATTTCTTTTACTTGTTTCAGAGAAGCCGTGTGTTGGCGCTCTGATTTTAGGACGGTTTTGACACCAGATCAAGAGACTGCTAATAAAAAATAGTCGTCTTAATATCTTAATACATTATTGTCATAATAATAATACTAAAAATTTTATACCCTTGAGTAGTAGTAATATTTGGTAAATTTGGATTTTAATGTAGCCTGCAAATGATTTAGACGTATATATGCGGTTAATTCCTGTTTAATATTTCATGTTTTACTCACAAATACATTAAATATTCACATGTAGAGACATCTCACTGTATTTACATTTTGTCGACCACCATTTGGCTCCGCCCCGTTCTACGTCACACTCCATCCCATTCCACGCGCTAAACCCCCGCCCCTCCTTTCCCCTCCGCAGAGCTGCATTCCTGCTGCTCCATCGGACCGAACCATTTCGTGTTTGAAACGATATTGAAGCCCAGGATCAAACAAAACAAATCAATGACGCACCGTTTTAACTTGAAATGTATTATATATAACCCCTTTCCAATTATGTGTCTAATTTAATCCCGTATTCCTCCTGGTATCGGTTCCCTCTGTAGTTTGCCCCAGCCGACACCCCCCTCTCGGCTCTCTTTAAAGTGGTACGCTCCGTCTTGCTGCCATGTTGGATGTACGCATCGATGCTGCATCTGCTGGAGTTTCCGAATGAAAGTTGAGCGTTTATGTGATTTCAGAGCCGAACTGAGAACTTATTTTTCGATTTAACACTGAAAAGTAAACGTCGAGGACCTTTTGAAAGCAGGAGCACGCCCGGAAACAACCCCCGACCTCCTCCGCCCTCCAGCTCGGAGTCGGACTCAGCGGAGATGATCCGGTTGCAGGCCACAGCAACCGGAGCCCGCATGGATTTTCTGTAATTACAACTATTTGCCGAGTCCTTTCAAGGATAACCGCGTCGTTTTGGAGTAAACTAGACTAATCCCAGAGCCATGAACAGCCACCCTCCGCCGCGCAGGTCTGCCAACGTGGGCTCCATCCTCCTGACCCCGCAGGAGAACGAGTGTCTGTTCGGATACCTGGGCAGAAAATGCGCCGTAAGTTTCCCAGTTTGTTTACCACCTGCAGGGCCGAAGAAGATGCTGGTGCATGCAGCCAGGCATCGTTAAAAGACCACTAACATGTGCCTCTCTCGTTCCAGCAGCAGAGACTATTTGGAAACCGCATTGGCGTTTGAGTCAGGGGCCCGGTGCTGCTGCTACAAAACCGATCCAACTTAAATCGATCGGTTATTATCTAAAAAATACCGATATCCAAAATTATGCTCAATTTACCTATTAACCTTTATCATATAATCGCGTTTAGGGTTGTAGTTGCTTCAAAACTGTCTTTGTCCTGTTAAGTAGTAATGTCAAATATTTCTGATAAGGTATTACGATGTGATATCAGACATGTTACATAACGATAACATCACGATACGCGATTCTGTGATAATTAATCGACTTCAGGACAACCGTGTGATGATGCTGCACCACATGAACTGATTAACCCAAGAGTCTCTATAGGGTTAAGAGCAGGATTAATGTCACGAGGAGTCATGAAGTGGTGATATCAGTGAGTTAAAGTGGTAGAGATACGCTCCTGTTACTGTAATTAATGAGAAAAAAATTAGCAATTGAAACCTCACAATGCACGCTTAATTTTGTTAACTGCAGCCTCTGAAATAACAGCCTGAAGTGATATTCCTCAGTATCCAGATCTAGGTATGGGAATCGAGAACCGGTTCTTGTTGAGAACCGGTTCCAAATGGTTCAATCCATCAACATCGTTCACATTTTATCTTAACAATTCCCTTAATGATTCTTTTCTTCCGGTCGTCAGCCACTGCTGTTCCGTCTCAACAATGGCATGGAAGGTACGTTTGTCCTGTGTTAACACAAGCACAATGCATGCCAGACTTGGACTAACTGAGTTAGAAGCACGTCAAAAACGCTCGACCCGACCCCAAAACCCTCGAAATTTTGCATGCAACTCCGCCTCCCATGAAGTAATGTCCTCGTTAAAGAATTGAATCAATAAGCAGTCGAAAATGGCATCGATATTGATAAAATCTTATCAATCCCCATCCCTATCCAAATCATCCAATAAGTGTAGTAGATTATAAATTCACCTCCTGAGTAGAGCTGCAGTTATCGAATATTTTAGTAATGGAGTATTCCATCGAATATACCAATTACTGGAGTAATTGGACCCAAACGGCAAACTCACGTAAAGTTAGATTTCCTATAGCCCCGCAATGAAGGCCAGACTCGAAATAGAGGACAATCGCGGAACAAGCGTTAGCGGATTGCAATGTTCGTAAGAAAGCTAATTATGATATTAACTTTGCTAAATAGCTCCTATGTTACCTGCTTCTGCGACAACACCAGCAATGTTAGGCTACAAGCCAGCATGAAGAGAAAAAAGCCCCTCTCATCATTTATTTTTTCCGCACTGCAAAACCTAAACAGCGCTTACTCCTCCTTCTACCGTGGTGACGTTAGCGCATTGTGTCACCTTAACAAAAATCCCTGCGAAACAGTGGCGATTTGAGCTTATAAATGAGTACTCGAGGCAGAGACAATTCCTCGATCATTATCTGTAATCGAGGTACTTGAGGTATCCGAGGAATCGTTTCAGCCCTACTCCTGAGAATACAAAAGTCTCCAGCAGGGCTCCGGGTGGTACGCCAAACACATTATGATTCTGTTATCTGTTTTGTTTTCTATGAAGGGTTTGATAACTGGAATTTGATGTGATAACAAGATTTATACTCGGTGTCAACAAGTCTGTAAAGGTTAAATCTACTAGAGACTTGTTTTGTGGCCTAAAACTTTGATTTATCTGTCATCTAAAACCAGCTTCAGGTGGTCTGAATGCTGTTCAGCCTTATTTTTGCTGCTTTTATGTCTTATTCTTGGTGTAAAAAGATGAGAATTTTAAGGTACAGATGTGTCATGTTGTGTTCAAATGTCTGAGTAGTGAATTGTTGAGGTGCAGCACATCCGTCAGCATATTCACGGATGCTTGAGTCCTGACATTTAGAGATTGGACAGGAAGTCTCCCATCCTTTTTACATTTATCAAACTCAACCAGCTGTTATCGGTCACCTCAGGCCCACTTCAAACAGCCTCAAACCATTTTAATTAAAGAGACTCTTTAATGTGGAAACCAACAGCAGCTGGGTGTTGTTTATTTACCGAATCATATCTGACACCAGAGTTCCCCAATGAGGCCACAAACTCCTGAATTACGACTCAGATCTTTGGGTTGTTGATGCAGTTTGATGAGTTCATGACAGCTCAGCAGGTTTTCGTGTCAGCTGCTGCTGCATCAGAGCGCAGACTGCAGAGGAGACTGCAGGAATTTTCTACATGCACCTGAGCTCAGAGGTCAGATCAGTCAGTTTTAACTAACTTTGACTCGTCAGGTGGATTTGTACTGGCCTGATGCTTTTGAACTTTAACACCTTATGGTGGGAAAATCTCTGAGGAAGCTCCTGAATACCAAAACCCGACACTGAATGTTTTAATCAAACCCTTTTCTGGTGTTTCTGTTAATTAGCGCAGATTGAATTGATTGAATCAGGCCCGAATGACTCGGCAGAAACAAAAGGGATCTGGTTTTGGGCCTGAATGTAAATCCTACATTATAGCTGTTAGTTTAAGCTTATGTAGGGAACAATCAGTCCAACACCGAAATCTTTGATTGGCTAAATTAAGAATAAATTGCATAATAACTCTTGGATCTTATTTAAAGACCAACATCAGAACATGGTGTTAAAAAATCTTATTTGAAGTCATATTTTTGTCTTTAAATTAATGTTAAGATGTGTTGGATAATGTAGCTTTGAAATGTGTTGTGGTTGCTATGGTAACATGATTCGAGTCCGTACTCCTGTTAAGTGGAAGGAGAGGGAGAAACACGAGTCGAGGAAGAAAGACAAAGATGAAGTCGTCTGAAGGAGAGGGACTGAAAATGCAAGCGGGAGAATGATCCCACAGCGAGGTTCCAACTCTGAAGCTGAACGTCAGCGTTTAAAAGAAAGACCTCCACTCACACAGGACCCATCTGTTCCCATTACAACCAAGACTGCTCGCTGAAGTGCTTTTGGGCCCTGTGAATTCTGGGACACAACGCTGCGTCGTCAGTTACCGCCGTGTTTTTTAAACAGTTTTTGCTGCATGGAGATAGTTAAGACGACTCGTACCTCAGAAACTCAGCTCTGTGAAGGGATGTCATGTCCACTCATAGATAACGCTGTAACCAAAGAGTTACCGATTATTACATCCTGATTTTGTCGTCAGTTTTTGTTTAAAGGTCCACTGATCATCTTGCAGCGATATTTGTGGAAATATCCTTAAAATGAGTGTTTATTTATCTACAACTTACATGCTCCTCTAGGTTCAGTATCAGACTTTGATACTGAACTTTAGCTGAGATCTGAAGCATACTCTCATTGTTTGGGTGGGTAGAGCTGATCTCATTTAAAGAGCAGCATTTGGACTTACTCCTTTGCATGTCCTCTTCCACTTTGCACAGATGGAGGGGTTTTTCGGTAGGTTGGGGGTAATTCACAAAGCGGGATTAGAAAGTTAGATCGATGTCTGCGACTCTTGTAAGGCTAAATCTGGTGATGCCAATTCAAACCTAAAAATAAACAGTCATGTCACCTGTCGTATCATTAGTCATCTTTTTAAGGTGAGGCTTTTATTGAGAAGAAAAACAGCCTCACAAATATTACACGCAGGCTTCCTAAAGTTATGGGGCTAATTTGCTAATCCGGCTTTGAGGAGATTGTGGTGGATTTATCTGGAGGCAGATTACATGAAAAGTTTTTGGGAAGCTCTAAGTTGGATAGTTTAGATGTCTGACTGTTTGTTGTTTTTTTTAATCTAATCCGAACCAAAACAAGATCTGGAGGTCTCAAAGTGTTGGTGGTCTAAAAGACAAGCCAGTCCACATCAGGGGTACATAGTTGTTTTTATGTTTTTTACATTTGGTTAAAGTAGACCTTTTAGGGAGACCCATGTTTTGGCACTTGCATATGTTCATATCTATCCAGTCCTGTTTCCAGGTGCAGGTCTGAACGGCCTGTTTCCTCCTGACATCAGCAGGATTAGGACTTTTTCCTCACTCTGCACTTTATTGATTCAGTGAGCTGTGAAGGAAAGTCACAGTATTCTGGTGATTCATTTTGTAAATGACGGCCAGGACGAGCTGGATTTGAGACTGTTTCATCTAGAAAGACCTCCTCGAAGGCTCACAATCACAAGAAGTAAACAACATGAGAACAGCAGCTGACGTATCTTTAGCTTATGCATGTTAAAATAGCTAAACATGGGTGTCAACGTGTCCTCATAAAGGCATGATGTTTATGTTGTTTAGTGAAGACAAAGCTGTGTAAAAAGAAACACCCTTGAGCTGTGTAACACAACTCACCTACTCTCTTCCAGCAGTCGCTTGTTTGTAGCGAGACCTCAGGCCAGTCTATTATAGACTACAGCGGGGTGACGCAGCTCAAGGAAGAACATTTATGATCATTTCTTCATGGAAATACAGTCAGACCAAGACGCTAAGGCAGAAGAACTACCGCGTCTGTAAAATGATTAATATGGTGATTATTACTTCAAGGAAATGATAAAGTAATAAACCTTTAAGGGAAGAAAACAGCCGCTTTAGTCAGACACCAATTTCTTCTCCAGAAGCACCTGAAGGGGTTTATTCTTGGTCTGTTTTCAGGCGTGTATTTCTGAGAATTTCCAGAACATTTCAGGACAGAATTCTCCCAAAACCCTCCAGAAGTGTTCGTTCACACACGTCCCAAACAGTCTGTGCGGTGTTCCCTGACTTGCAGAGATGATGAAGGGTCTTGTGATGAGGGTAGGAGGCCGAACAGTAAAGTGTAAAAATGTTACTCAAGATTGTCGACTGACAGGACAGAGTTGGTGTGAAAATCTCATCTGTTCGTGTTGACTCCGATAATTTAGATGAAGATTTCAGCTCTTAAATCATGTGTGAACACGTCTTATCTTCTTCTTTGATTTACAGCTGCTGACCTAAAATCCGTCGGTTCTGAATCATGAGTGTTTTGAATTGAGAGGTCACAGTCGGCCTCTAACCAGACCCAAATGACTCGCAGGGATGTTTGACATGCTGCTCATTTAGCTTCAGTCCAGCTAACACGCTGACTTTGGCAGCTAACAGTCCCCTCGTGGATGTCGGTTTGGCGGCCTGTTCGGCGTGCTAGCTTGCGGAGAATGACTCGTCACTGCTCGTGTTTTCACCTGCAGCACTTTGAGGTCGATTTCCAATGTCGTGTTTGTGGCTATCAGCTGATGTAACCTCCAGAGTCTTCTGTGTTTATCGCCGCATACTTTCCCCTCATTGAGAATCAACAGAGCTGTAATGAGCCTTTTAACAGCCGACCTCCGACCTTTCCCGTGTGATGCTGAGTGGTGATTTCATGGTGAAAAGTGTTTCCTGCCGGTCCTCTGACCCGCTGCCATAAATCACAGAGGAGGAAACCGGCTCTGTGGCATTTCCTCTTTCCTCCCTGGGCGGCTGGAGTTACTCGGTCCTGGCAGAGGATTTAACAGAGAGCGACTTCTGCAGAGAGCTGGAAACCACAAACCAGAACAGTCAGAGGACGGGACAGTGCTGAGGACAGCAGCTGGAGTCTGTTTCCCGTCAGGCAGAAATCAAGGTTAAACTCAGTGGAGAAAAGCCAAACAGACTGAATCTGCAATAAAAGACTCGCTGTCAGGTTACGGAGCGCGCTCAGAGCCTCCGTACTGGACAAACAGATCCGCACATGCAGCTCTTCAGATGCATTTTCCAGATTATACGTCGACACAGTGATCCAGACAAAAGATGGTTTTAGGGCCGAACAGTGCAGCGATTCGACTGCCAAAGTTAGTCACATGACCTAAATTCATCCAAACAAATGTTAAAGACCGAACTTAAGGCAAACATCGGACAAAATAAGAAGTGTTCGCAGTTAAAGATTGAAAAATGGTCCAAAAGAAAGAGACGCATGTATGTGGTTTCAGTCTGAGTCCTTGTCTTAAAAATCGAATCGTGGACCGTGATATTCTGGGTTAAGACAGGTTATGGTTAAAGCTCCATCAGGCGATTTAACCAGACTGCTGTCCTCTTCTCAGTGTCGAGAATCCAGTCATTGACAGAAGTGTGTTCGCCTCAGTGACAAGCTGAAAAAGGTGTGTCCTTCGACCATAACTATCAGGTCTCGGTTGACGTGAACACGAGGATTTACGTTGAGCGATGAAAACTCTGTCATTATTTCAGCTCTGTACCGTTTGTTTCTACGACAGGAAAGTTTTGGCTTCTTTATGTAGGGCCGGGCAATAAACCGAAAGTTTACCGATACGGAAATATATGACGTGTGCAGGTAGGCTATGGTCTCATGTCCCTTTAAGACGCTGTCCTACGTCAGAGACGTGACTCCACCCCATCCAGTCCATAACAAAGAGGGAAAGACAGGTGAGGAGATGGAGGACGGTTCAAAAGTTGTAGCAGCTGAAGTAGACGAAGTTAATGTGGGAGGGGGTGAGCAGCTTGTGGAGTACTTATCGTCCATTTATTGTCATCGAGGTGAACTGATCAATATATTGTGATATTGATTTGAGGCCATATCGCCGAGTCCTATCTTCACGTCCTCCTTTTGTCCGTTGAGGTTTTGTTGCTACTTCTAGTGTCGACCAAGCTTCTTCATCCAGCTGCATGTTTGTCTTTAAATGTAACTGATGATCTCACTAATGTGTAGTGTGGTTATTATGGTAAGGGTTTGCTTAACCGTCTGGACTATATCGACTCATATTTGAGTTTTTTGGCCTTCTATATTCGGAGCAGACAGAACGGGGGATAGATCAGGAAATGGGGCGTGCAAGAAGCAGCACCTAATTGTATTTTTGACATCCGTTAATGATGTGTCATAATGAGCGGCTTCTGAAATATCACCCATGCTAATGATCTGCCCCCTTGTTGAACCCCGTGCTGCTATTTTAAGCAGTACTCCAGACATGACTCTGGAGACGGCGGCAGCAGCGGCGTTGTTTGGTCTGGAGTCAAATGGAAGAGGTGCAGAGAAACTTTTTTTACAGGAACTGAAAGTGTCCTCCTGATGAACCTGTCTGCAGAATCTGCAGGGCCCACCCTCTCAGATCAGGCTTGTGATGTTTTTTTTTTTTATTTGCATATGTGGTCTCAGCGTTTCCTCATTGACCTGTCAACTGCAGGTGAAATGTTTTGCATCATGCAGATTTCCTCTTCCTTGTAAATCGTGCAGCTTGTAGGCAACCAGTTTGATATCATATCTGTGCAGCAGAGTCACTTTGCATGTGTCAGAGCTGATTAAATTGTTGATACTCACCGTCCTCTTCTTTGTCCTCCTCAGACTCTGTGTTCGGCGGTGGTCCAGGTGTACGGAGCCGATCGGAGCTGTACCTGGGTGAAGCGGTGCTGTGGAGTGGCCTGTCTGGTCAAAGACAACCCACAGAGGTCCTACTTCATCAGAGTGTTCGACATCAAGGTGAGCGTGACAGGAAACTGCTGCGAGGAGGGTTTTTAGAGAAACACGGCGAGCTAAAGTTGGAGGCCACTCGGCTCGCAGCTCAGCGGGAGTCAAGCAAAATATGAAAGATCATGCATCAGAATGAAGGAGGTTCAAAAAGCAAAAACTTTAGAGGATTTAAGAACCAAAACCCAAAATCTCAACCAGAAAAACAACATCAGGACACGACAGCTGAGGAGCCTGAATGATGACTGTGAAAAACCAAAGTGAAACACTGACTCAGCATCACCAGACCAAAAGATAAACAACATGACCAAGACCAACTGAAGATGTTGGATGATGTGAGAATACAGGGAGGTAAAAGCAGTAAAGTGAGATTAAAAGAGCAATAAAATGAGATAAAAACGGATTATAAAGCAGTAAAGATAAGAGAGCAGTAAAGGAGCGAGAGCAACAACAGATATCAGAGCTGTAGAGTAAATCAGAGGGAAGAATAAACAACAAAGAGAATTAAATCGTTTATTTAATCAGCGTTTATTCACATAACGCTGTTTTCAACATTACGACTGTAAAACTTTAAATCTCCACAGAAAAAAAGTCTTAAATGTGGACGAATCGACCAAACGAGGGGAGACAGGGCTGCACCGTGATGCATTCAGGGTCAGGCCGGTAAAATATGTGATGGGTTCAATTCAGTTCAACTTAAAAAGCTTTATTTGGGAATTGGAGGCACAAATAAACGATGTAAACTCTGTACCACTGTAAACAATCAAGAGGAATAAACAATATTACAAATGATATCTTTGAAATAAAATAAGGAGAAATAAAAATACTTACTACTGAAATAATACAAAGAAATCTGGGTACCGGGGCTCAGCAGGATGGGTGCAAATTGGCATTAGGTAAGGTGGGTGGAAATAAGACTTGACGAAGACGTGTTGAAAAAAGAAAATTCAAATTTTGGCGAGAAATTTAAATAATACTGTTTAAATACAGAATGACTATTTCATACGAGATAACAACCTTGTAAGTGTACACACATGAGCTTCAACAGGCCTTAAAGCTCCTGTCAGGAACTTTTTCTCTGTGTTAACTTTGGCGCCCCCCTTTGGTCAAATTCTGTATGGACATGACCAGTTTCAGGCATTCAAAACGACAGTGTTTGTCATCAATGTCGTCGTTAATGGTCGTGTTAGCTTCTGAATATTCATCGAAATATATTTTAGTGTTTTTCCAAAAAAAGTGGAAAAACTCCTTACTGCAGCTTTAAAAAAACATGATAAAACAAAATTTCAAAATAAGAATCTATATATTTATCCACTGGCATGTCAATAAAAAGTACTCAAAACTTAAAAACATCCTTTCATAACTAATTAATTTATGATTAATCCTGATTTGGTCCCACAGGCCTGAATCAAACCTGTAAATTTCAGCTCTTTTTCCTGAATTTGTTCGTATTTCACCTTCACTCTGGCTCCTCCGTGTCTCTGCAGTATTTGGGACGTGGCCAGGCTGCATTTAGACTCTGCTGGAATTAACGGAAAAAATGAAAACGCTGCTTTCAACATGAGGGAAACTCTTTTAATGGATCAAAGTGAAGCAGCAGCAGCAGCAGCTGATCTGTTTTTACTGTCTGAAGTTCAAACAGGCTCTCAAACCTGCAGCCGATCCCTCACTCTCTCTTTTCGTTCGCCCAGTTATCGATTGGACGTGACTTTGTTAATGACTGGGTTGTTATGCAGAGTAAATCTGAGATTATTTGATTGTTTAGTTTACTGATTTCAGATTTCGCTGATTCTGTATCACTGTTGGAAGATTGATTTTCATACAGACTCTTAACTGTGAGCTCTTTTCTGGGAGGAGAAGAATCAATGTGAAACTCGGTCCTCTTTAAATGAGAAGGAGGACTCTCGTGTGTGGTGGAGGGAAAATCTGCAGAGTCACTGATGTTTCTCCTTTAATCTTCAGACGGGAGTTTTTCTCTCTGATGTTTTCTTTCCTCTGTGTCTCTGCAGGAAGGGAAAACCATGTTTGAGCAGGAACTGTACCACAACTTCTCCATCAGCAGCGCCAGATCCTACTTCATCTCATTCGCAGGAGATGTAAGTGAGCGGATGTGTTTCTAAAAACTCCTGGTCTGAGAGATAAGGTCTAGGTCTGTTTAATAAGGTGTGATGATCACAGCCTGTTTTACGCTCAGATAGGAAATACGAAGCAGCGTCTGGCCTTTAAAGGCTGCTGCTGATTCTGACAGAGCTGAGGGGACAGATCTGTTTCCAAAGAGAGAGAGAGCAGGAGCAAAAATAGGACAGCTGAAGAAACTCTGGTACTCTCCTCTAAATGAGCTCTGCAGGTAGTTTTATTTGCATGAAATGGATTTAAAAAGCAGCAGACATTCATCAGTAAAAACGTGATCCTGGATCATGATTGAGTCTCTGGATTAAGTCCACATTAGGGATGCAGTATTTTATTTTTGGTACAACATTAAAGCTTTAATATTCATCTTTTAAATTGCAGTGTTTTCGGTTTCGCTTTATCAATCCACACATTGGAGGATGAATCTCCGATCACTGCAGGTAGAGTCACTGCGGTTACACTGAGTGGCCGAATATTAGAATCTGTGAAAACACTGAGTTTCTCTGCGGTGTAAAATAAAAAATCTTCTAAATAAAAGGCCGAGGGGTTCACCAAGGAACCAGGTTTGGATCTGAAGAGTTTTCAGTGTCACAAATAGGGATGGGAGTTGATAAGATTTTATCAATATAGATGCCTTTATCGATTCAATTCTTTAACGAATCCATTATCAATGCCTTTCTTTGACTTATAACAGGAAAAAAATGTATGCCACCTTCAGTTTTTTTCCTCTAAGTTCTCTGTTCTCGTTCGCGTAGACTGATTCTCGCAAGACCGTTTTTCAAGGCACCCGGAGGAGAGGAATCGTGAAGGGAATCGTTAAGATAAAATATAAACAATATCGATGGATTGAACCATTTGGAACTGGTTCTCCATTCCCATCCCTAGTCACAAAGCTGCCTCTCTTTAACTCATGCTAACTCCTGGGTAATGTTCAGGGTTTCAGCTTTAAATTGACGGTAAAGTGCCGTCTTTTCTCTGGGAAGTTCATGAAGTCTTGTGTTCCTCTTCCTGCTTCCTGAGTGTGGGAGGGGGATTAGAGTAGGAGGCACAAAATAGACTAATAACAGGTGTAAATAGCGCTAAAACCTGCATTCATCTGGAGTAAATTCAGGTGTTTTTATCTCTGTGTTCGTGTTGTAGAAAGGAGAATTATCACCGTTGACTTTCCCAAGTATCACACAGAAATTAGAAATCTGTTTTTAACATGTTCTGGAGAAGAAAACATGAAGATTTGATTTTTAATGTGCATGAAGTAATGAATTAATAGATACAAGTTTGTTCAAGACCCGATTAGACAGAGCGGTGTCGCTTAATAAGACATTTCAGCTACAATAAAACTGAGCATAAAAAGCGTCACTATAAAGGCAAAAGAAAAATATGGAAAAAAGCTGATATGAAGGTTAGAAAGCAGCTGAAACAGTCAGTAAAAGCTGGTTCACCTGAAGCCAAGGTGCAGTTTTCACTCCCAGGTCCTGCTCACCTTGTTGACTAAGCCCTGAGATATTCCAGTCTCCAATGCAAATAAATGTAACGGTCATGTAATCTGCATCTTTTCTGTGTTTCCTGTTTCCACTTTTATTCATGCAAAACATTCACAACTTCCCTGAAACACCTCATCTCTTCCTGGTCACGGCAGAAGTTGTATAGATAAGACAGAAAAAGGAAAGTGTGGATATAAATATGTAATATCTAAAGAGTTTCCTTTTCTAATTTACAAATTTAACAGGTTAGAGGCGTGTTATTGAGATTCAGAAAGAAGCGAACAGAAGTCAGTAAAATGTGTCCAACACTGATTCGTTAATGTTTTTATTTGGGGACAAAGAGGGCCAGGTCTGGAAGTTTAAGGTTTCTTTCCTTTGCACATTATGAAGTGTTTGAACTCGCTGTGGTTTTCCCTCCTCTTCTCTCAGACGTGTCAGATCGGATTAAACTTTGCAAGTGAAGAAGAGGCCAAAAGGTTCAGAGCGGCCATCAACGACCTGCTCAACCGGCGACAGCGCAAAACAGGTGAGTTTACACTTAGAGTTTGTCTTCTTCTTCTGCTTCCTCTAACCTGTCTTCAGGTCCTCCTACTGCTAACAGATCCTCACCTTTAAACCCAAACCAGTCCGCCTTACTCATGTCCAGATGTGCTGAGGTTGTAAAACTGAATCAAACAGGAATGAGTCTGGTTTCGGTTTGGGACATTTCTCTGCAGCTCTGATCCTTCTGTGTTTCTCTTTCACTCTGTAAACGTCTCGGCTGTGAAGCTCCTCTCAACACGCTGACTTTGAACGCACCTCCGCTGAGTTTGAGAGCTAACATGAGCTTACCTCTTTCTTCTCCCACTAACTCTGAAGACCTATTGAACTGCTTTTCCGACTCCTCGCTGTCATCTTTCAAACCTTAGGGCTTTAAACCACCAACTTTCCTCTGACTGCCGTAAAAATCACACTAACTGAACTTCAGCCTGAGCGGCTCACCCTCTTCTCTCGCTGCTAATATCCTCCTGATTAAATGTTCTCATAGCGGTGTTGTTACTTTGTTCTGAAAATGTGAATTTTTCTTTTGCAGAGAAGAGAGGTGACCCGAAAAATGGTATGTTAAACTCTATTTCTGATTACAAAGATGAAGTTCTGCTCACTGTACCAGTTCAAAGAGGCATTCAGAGGCTTTTTACTTCGCTATCTTGTAAAAACAGGTCATTATTTTGCGGTATTTTGCTGTCATACAATTATAGTAATACAGAAACAAAATTATAACAGATTTCAATTGTTTGCAAATCCTATAAAGAAAATAAATTGAATGTTGAAAATGAAAAAGTTGATTAAGACTGAGAGGAACGTCTCTAACTAATATGGTTTATTTATAACATGAAAGTCACATGACTGGGTCTAAAAAAGGACCTTCAGAGAGGCGGAGTCACTCAGGAGGAAAGATGGAAGAGGTTCACCACTCTGTGAGAGACTGCGTGAGCTAACAGTTCAACAGTTTCAGAATAATGTGAAAGAATGAGTGGATTTTATCATCTACAGTACATAATATTATTCAAAGTCTCAAATCAATATCACGCTATGTATTGAGCAGTTCACCTCGATAACGATAAATGGACGATAACTACTCAACAAGCTGCTCACCCCCTCCCACATTAACTTCGTCTACTTCAGCCGCTACAACATAAATTTCGGTATCGGTAAATTTTCGGTTTATCGCCCACCCCTAATTCAAAGATTCAGAGGATCTAGAGACATCACTGTACTAAAGGGGGACAAGGACCAACACTTAGGGCATTAAAAATAGACAGGACTCTCGAGTGGCAATCACCGCATGGTCTCAGAATTACCTCAGAAACCATTGATGGTGACCACAGTTCATAACTGCATCCTCCAATGAGGTTCAAACTGAACCAAAGAGGAAACCAGATAGAAAAAGGATCCAGAAACACTTGAGACTTCTCTGGACCTGAGCCCGTTTAAGGTGGACTGAGGGGGAGACTGTCCTGAGGTCTGATGGATCAAAATTTGACATTCGTTTGGAAAAGACAACTGGACTAACTTGAGATGTTTCGCCAAAGTCCACTTGCCCTTTCAACGAAAGATTGCAAGTCATAGATGCTGTATCCTTAGTTTTAAAGAGCAGCTGGTCCAACCGGCTTGTTCTCAGCGCCCAGTCCAAATCCAGCATCCCTGATGGTCAGGGGATCATCAGAGTCAGTGTCATCTGGACCTGAGTCCATTTAAGGTTGACTAAGGGGAAGAGGAAAACTGTCCTGTAATCTGATTGATCAAAATCAGACATCTATTTGAAAAGGACTTCTGGACTTACTTGAGACGTTTCGCCTAATGCTTATTGGTCCTTTCAACAAAGAACTGTAAAGCATAGATGCTGCGTCCTCAGTTTTAAAGCGTAGCTCCCAGTCCCAGGAGAAGAGTCCTGCTGAGAAACTGGACTGATCCTGATTTAACCATGTAGTGCTTCAGGAAACTAAGAATACAGCAAAGGAGACAGCGAACATTTTCCTCTCTGTCTCTGTGAGTGTCTATGTTTTTGCTTGGCTTGATGAGGAGTACCAGGAGTCTGGAGTCCCGGGGTTTCCTGACACGTTGGCGGTGTTGTCTCATAGACGCTCTGACTCACACACTGACACAGAGAAGTCTGCTGCAGGTTAATCTGGTCAGCAGGAAGTCCATCTGTGCCATATGTAGACCACATGCTCTTTGTTGTTGTGATGCTCTTTAGGCCTAATCTGTAATCCCCGCAATTACCTTTTCCTCGATTTGCTGTAAATTACTGAAACGGGACCTGAATAAATGTTAGCAGACAGTCTCTACCGATCTACTGAAGTATTATAATGTTACCTGTGAGGGTGGTCTATTCACTAGTGTTAACCTTTTACCTGATTTCAATCCAGCACTGCAGTAAGCTCTTTTTATAATACATGAGTTCACTATCAAGTGTTGGAGTTTTAATTCAGCTCATCATCGCACTGCTTCAACCTCAAGTCACATTAATCATTCAGAGGTGTAAGATTTCCACAGATGAAAAATTAAAGTCAGCTAGTGAGCAGAAGTTTGTGGCAGCTCGACTCAAACTCCCTGAAGGCTTGAAAATGAATCTCAGAGAGACACGGCCTTATTTTCTCTAAGTGTTATTTCCTCTATTCAGTATAAAAACTGGTTTTAGTATCACAGTCGGAGGAAGAAATCGGTGCAGGTGAGGAGCTGGGCAGTGAGAGACAAACTGGTGGCAGCTCAGCTTTCAGCACCTTTTGTTACTTGTGAATATCAAACCAGGATAACTCTTCAAAAAAATTCTCCATCACAGGGTCTGACTCTTGTAGAAAAAAGGATATTTTGGCTTGTTTATTAGCAAAAAGTCCAGTGGCAACTCAGCTCTCAGCCCTTCCTGTGAACTGTGACTATCAAAGCTGAGCATCAGGGAAACCGTAAAAAAACTGCTTTATTTACAGAGTCTGATTTCTGTGAAAATTTTATATCTGGGTACTTTGTTAGAGAAAGGCAGCGGTAGCTCAGCTCTCAGTCTCTCCCGTGAACTGAGATGATCATTAGGGAAACAGTAAAAAACAACCTTATTTACAGAGTGTAATATCTGTGAAAATTTTATATTTGGGTAGTTTATTAGAAAAAGGCATTGGTAGCTCAGCTGTCATGCCTGAATATTAAAGAGGAGCATCAGGAAACAGGAGCAATCTTAAAAATGTCGTTTTGTTTTTTTTTTTTTTTGTTTGTTTTGTTTTTTTTTAACACTGATTGTTTTGAAAACTGTATTTTGGCTTGTTAATTAGACACAAGTAGGTGGCAGCTCAGCTCTCAGCCCCCCATAGACAGAAAATAACTTAATTAGCCTTTTACAGGATCTCATCACTTACTCTTGTTATTTTGAAAGTTCAGTGTTTTGTTTAGTTTGTTAAAAAAAACAAAAAAAACAGGGAGCAGCAGTTCAGCTCTCAGCCCCCCTGATTTAAAAAATGGTGTTGTATTAAGAGGTAAATACTTAATTTTAGCCTGAACAGGATCTCCTCACAGGTTCTGAGCGTTTGAAAAGCGTATATTTTTGACCAGTTCATTAGCATCATCAAAGATTGTTGCAGCTCAGCTATCAGCCTCTCAGTAATAAAAGAGAGCAACTGAAAAGACGTCACATTCAAGAAAAAACACCTGTTTAACTTTTTAAAGGTTTGGCTCTGAATGTTGAAAAAATTTGGTATTTTGCCTCGTGTTTTGTACAGAAACAAACAACAGCTCGGCTATCAGCCCCTTAAAAAAAAGAGCACCTAGAAAAACGTCACATTTGAGAAAAAACATCTGTTAAGCTTTTTAAAGGTTCGGCTCTGTATGTTGAGAAAATGGGTATTTTGGCTAGTGTATTGTACAGAATCAGCTCAGCTCTCAGCCCCTCCAGGCGTCCTGCCTCTATCAGATCTTGTTGTTTTGAATCTGGTGTTTGTTCTTCCTCATCAGAAGCCCTCAGCTCCTCTTTTCCCTCAGCTGGCTGGTCCATGTGTTTGTGGAAAGCCCCGGTTGCTGCTGCGTTGCTCTTTGAATTATGACTCAGCTGAAAACATAAGTGCAGGGCTAAGAGAGAAATTTGTGTTTTTTCTAAATCATGATTCAGATTTTTAAAGTCGGAGACAGACGTAGCTGACAGAAAACTGTTTTCCTCTTGTTTGTGTCACATCAAAACATTTTGTCGTGTTGAATGTCTCATGGTAGGGAGAGGTTAAAGAGAAACAATGGCGGTAATCTGATGGATTCTGGGGTAAAAATAGATGGTGTGTCTGTTTTGTTTCTCTGAAAAACTTTCCAAATTGCTGTTTTTCCTGTGTTTGTTTGCATTCACCTCAGCAGCGCCAGGAACAAAGTGCAGCAGAGCTTTAATTTAGGTCTCCTCCTCTGCAGCCGTGTCTGCAGGTCGTCCCAAAAGACTGTTTGCTTTCATTAAGCCGTCTGACTGTTGCCAAACACTGCGGCTGTAAGGAGCAGGATTAACATGAACTCAACACTTCCGCAGACTCCTCAGTCAACTCCGGGGCTTTGTGCCGCAGATCGTTTATTCACCGAAGTTTGTCTGCGTTCATTCTGACAGAAACATGGCGCCTCTCGAGGGGGACGTTGTTTCTCTGGATTCTGGGATATGTTTGTCAATCTCGCCGTGTCCTCACTGAGACATCAATAGAAACTGTTGTGTAATAATGAGCTGATTTCGTCTCTAGGATAACCCAGATTGTTTGGGTGTCTTAAGGGATCACCTCAGACTCTCCTGGTACCTGACGTGAACTTTTAAACCCAGCTGACGCTCCTCCACATAAGCCGGACATTGTCAGACTGAGCGCAGTCTCTTGAATGGATGGTAGCTGCTGCTTGTTGGCAAAGATCGTAGAAATAATGGATCGAGAAGCCGTGACATCATCCGTCGGTTTCTCGGCTCTCTGAGATGAAGCCTCAAGCTCGGCGCCGTGCCACCACCATGTTGGTTTTGTGGAGACAGAAGTGACCGAGGGTGGAGCTGGAAGGAACGAAGGGTCGGTAAACTCTAAAGCTCTCAAAGCTAGACTGGAGACGAACCAGAAAATATTCAATTATCTTTTCACTTCTAGCTCCTCTAACCCCTCTGACGGAGGAACAGATGTTTAAAAAAAAGCTAAAGGAGCTCATTTATGAGTTTTAAATATGTTACACAGCCAGATTATTCATCCAATTTGGAGGTTTTAAAGGAAGAAACGTGACCACTAAGTTCTGTTTGGTAACTCAGTCAGCTGTGTTGATGCCTGACAGATAACTAGCTGTGTTAACTGTCACTCCAGGAGGCCACGCCCCCTTAAATTTCTGGCTTCGTTGAATTTAATTGTTTGAGTCATATTTAAAGAAGCTCCAAAGAGTTTGTAAGTTTTCATTTTTTCTGTTTTAAATTAGCATTTTAATACAGGGACCAATGGGGAGTCCTTGGCTTTTGCAGCCAGCCTCAAGTGGACACTGGAGGTACTGCAGGTTTTTGCACTTTCATGTTGGCTTCATGTAGATTTTGGGAGAGAACTCATTATCTGTAACAGCTCTTATGTGTTGCTTTAATAGGGTTTCATAGCTGAAAATGAGGCAGAGAGAAGACTTTACTGCTCTCGAGTTTTATCCATGTGATTCTTAGTTCACTGCAGAGCAAATACTGCAACGGTGAACTTTTTCATTTGGTTGGTGCAAAGTTGTTCCTCTTCCTGCAAGATTGTCCCGATTTCGTAAACATTTGCAGCTTTGGAAAACTTTTGCAAACGAGGGTTAAATCAGTCCAGGACCGTCTGAGGCTCGACCTCCTGCTGGTAACGGCACAACTTTTCCAGATGTGTGGAAACAGTTTGGAGAGACGACGAGTTATTTCATCTGTTCGAGAACATTACAAAAACAGTGTCACCTTTAACACACATTCACAGGATCCTGTAAAGAGATTGACCTTCTGCTCTCTCAACATTTCATCAGTTTGAGAGGAGAACTGGAGGACGGTACGTCAGCACAGAGAGCTGCAGAGAATGGAGGTGCTGACGCCTCCTCTCATTAATCAGACACAGCAGAGTGCTCGAAGCTGCAAACTTCATGTGCGTGTCTGCGCCGAGATATCATAAGTGCACTTTGCTTTATTGAATAAACTGAACCTCCTGCTCCATGTGGGTAAAAATGCAAAGACAACATCTTCAGTGTGGCAGTCAGAGGAGGCTCATCACGGCTGTTTGGCCCAAGGATTTAACTTTTAATGATGAGGGTTTTTTTTGGGTGTGAAGTTTTGTAGATCTTATTTAAACAATAAAAATTAAGTTGGGCTTTGTCACCATTCACCTTCATTACCTTAAAACACCAAGCACAAGTTATAACACCTACTTAATAAACCCTTGACAGAATACTGACTTTTTTGTGACCTTTAAGAGCCAGAAAAAGGTCAAACTGTCTTCTTTTGGGACCTTTTCCACCAAGTCCACAATGTGCAGTTTTTGTGCGTTCTCTGTAGCTCTTCCCAGCACCATTAATTTTCATCATTCTGAGTTTACAGTCTTTATAAACTGGATTAGTTGATCTTATTCTGACAAAACTTGATTGTCGTAACTCTCTACCCTAAACCAGTTCACCCAGACTCGCAGGACCCACTTCAGCTGGTCAGTTGTTGTCTTAAATCAGTCTTTTTATTCAAACAAACACAACACAAAGGTTTTCTGTACTTAATAACAGACATCGTCGTCTTCAAATGTCTGATTATCACCTGATTGAGGAGGAAAGCGCCTGTGCAGAACCCTGAAGGTGAATTTCAGTCACGCCTGGCTGCTTGCGGCGAGCGTCTGCTGTCATGATGGTGCAGTTTAGTGATGAGGCGTCATCCTCTCTGCCTCTGTCTCCTCAGGACAACAGGTTTCAAATCTTTCACGAAGCAGCTCTGCCCATCCTCGTCCTCTGGAGACGGCAGATTTGAGGCGAGCCTGTTGGTCCTGTTCATAGACATCCAGCGTTGTGGGCAGTCCAGGGATTTGGACTGGGATTAGCGGTGGATTAGTAGTTATGTCAGATGCTGCTGCGGTTTGTGGAGATTATGAGGAATTCGAGGAGTGAACGAGCTTGACCAATGAGAAGGAGAGGGAGTGCAATATTTACGCCAGAAAAGATGAAAACATCAGAAAAGATCAGCTCAGAGGGATGTGATTACAGTGGGTGAACACCAACATGAACATATTGATCCCTGAGCTTTCAGAGATTACACACTGGAAATTTCAGGACAGCCTGTATTTTCCAGGGTTTTTATTCGCACATGTCCGTCACAGCTCGAGAAATGTTTCTAGAGGCTGGATATGACAAAAAAAAGACACCTGAAGTCCTCATGTGGTTTTCTAGGTGTAAATTCAGTGTCACAGATTCTAAACCGCCCCTTTTCCCTCCTCATTGTGTGCAGGTCCAGCTCTTCACATGGCCACGGTGGACATCAAGAACCCGGAGATCAACAACGTCCGCTTCCACAACTCCCACAGCCACCAGCAGCCGTACCACCTCAACAACATGCTGAGCCACAGCGGGCTGAACCGGAAGGACAAGAAGACCAAAGGCAAGAAGAAGAAGCTGACCAAGGCCGACATCGGCACGCCCAGCAACTTCCAGTGAGTCGAACTTTGACTATTCAACATCGTAACGTGTTGTCATGGAGACTTTAGATCCTTCTTCTCTCACTGAATGAATCTGTCAGGTTGTAAATGTTAAAAAGGTAACTTAGGATGTATCTGTGTCTGGTGAAGGATCCGTACGGCCCGGTCTGATCCTGCAGGAACTCTCTGCTACTGTAAACATGTTGCGTTAGGTTCTGAGGTCTCTCAATGCCCACTCTGTCTCTGTGACTGATGTGTGTCTGTCTGTGTGTGTGTGTGTGGGCTCACTATTTAGCATGTGCACACGGCCGCCCACATGAACATGCAAAGTAGCTCCTGAACTGGTCTGTACTGATGTGTTTGTATGCAGACATGCGTGTGATCTCACCACTTATCTGTCCCGTCTTCTGCAGGCACATCGGTCACGTGGGCTGGGACCCAAACACAGGTTTTGATGTGAGTACCCCCCTCTCCAAACACACTCACTCAGAAACACACGCTCTCGCACGGGAGCACAATAGCGACCTGTGTGGCTGCTGCATGACGAAATCGCACAATAGGCTCTTTTTACTTCCTGCGCATATTCGCAAACATCTCAGAAGCTGCGCGCAGACACAGAATGTTCCAGAGAGGAGGAAGAAGCAGCAGCAGAGCGTCATCAGAGAGGTTCATGAAGAAAAGATTAAGAAAATAAAAAAAGTGCATTTAAAACATCAGCAGCCCTGAGAGTCAAAAAGCTGCAGACTTGTTTTGCAGCACAAAAAATGAAGTTTATTCTGCACACGAAGACTAAAAACAGAATTTTAAAGTTTGCAAACCTTTTGTTGAGAAAATACAGCTTCTCATGGTTGAAATTTTACTATGAGTGCTTTAAAAAGTGAGGAAAGGGATCATCTTTACCTGTGTGTTACATCAGCTCTTCTTTTAACTACACTGTGCAAATATTTGAGAACTGGGGAAACCAGATCCTGGAGTCTGGGAAGGGATATGTGGTCTCGTTCTGGCCTGACAGAGGATTTCAGCTGCTCAACAAACAGTTCAGATCACTTTTTGTGAACCTTTATTTTCATGATACATCTATACGTTCCAATTCTTCATTGAAAGGAGACGCGCTAGGAGACGCAAAGAAAACACAGAGCACAGACACAAACCGGTTCGCAATAGGAGCCGGTTCTCGGTACCCAATCCTATCCCAAACCTATAGATATTGTTCTGCATTAATGGAGCCTTTACTGATGATATGGACTCTGATGGTCCCCATACCATCAGGGATGCTGGACTTGGACTGGGAGCTGAGAACAAGTCAAAAAGGCCCTCAAGCCATGATATCGATATGCATGGTTCAGTTTTAACCTGCATTTATGACGTCCACACAGAATGTTTTAAGCCAATGCGGTGATTCCCACTGCAGAGTCATGGCTGAGTTTAATGACCACAGGACAGTTTTCTTCTTCACCTCAGTCCATCCTAAGGTTTTGGTTCCTACGTCATGCTGAAACGTACAGGAGCTTCATTAGTCTAAAGAATAAACACAGTTCAACAAAAAAATCACATTCAGTCCTTTAAACCGTTTTTTAAAATGGGAAGCTCAGAGAAACCTTGAACAGAGGAATGTGAGAACGAAGACTCCACGTTCATTAGTGGGAATAAAAACTGTCAGTCATTCAGGTGCAGAGACAATGAAGGGAAGTGATAGAAAAGAGGATCCTTGAAATGCAGTTAGAGAACAGTGATGATGTTACTCTCAGGCTTCATCAGCAGTGTTCGCATTTCTAAGTCTGACAAACGTCGGTGGATCTGACCAGGAAGCCGTCTCTGGTCTCCGAGCCGCTGAAGCGTGCGTTCAGACTGACAGGCCTAACGAGCAGGAGGCGACTCGCTTCCCATTCACTGCCTCCTAATTGTCTCTGTTTACTCGACTGACCGGGCACGCCGAACGACCCTGAAAACATGCGACCTTCACGCGTCAGTCACACACTGAATTCCCAGAATGCACTGCAGCGTGATGGAAACAAAAGGTGCGAATACTTCCGAGGGACTGCAGGTTAATGTTTGATTTAATGGAAAAGCAGCCGAGGGGTTTGTTTGTGATGTTTCTGACAGGTTGTTATTCCACCTGCTGACCACTAGGGGTCACACTGACACTGCGGTTCTGTGAGGGCGTTTCTTTTCAGATGGAGGAGTTCAGAAAAAGCCAAACAGACAAGAGTAAAAGATGAAAAAAAGAGAGTTTACCCAAACAATCATCTTCACATGAACTAAAACATCCAGCGGGAGGACGTCAGCGGTCTAAAACACATTTTTATTTCACTTCTGTTGCAGCTGAACAACCTTGACCCCGAGCTAAAGAACCTGTTTGACATGTGCGGCATCTCCGAGGCTCAGCTGAAGGACCGAGAGACGTCGAAGGTCATCTACGACTTCATCGAGAAGAAGGGAGGAGTGGAGGCGGTCAAAAACGAACTGAGGAGGCAGGGTGAGGACAAACGAACACACACGTGCTCAAATGAACCCCACAGAAAACCTTTGAATCTGGATTTGATTTCACAGTGAGTGGGTTTGCTGCTGTGGGGCCGCTTCCTCCAGGCAGGCGTTAAAAAACTAATTAAAGATCTGATTATTAGAGAAATCATGCAGCGTTTGCAAAGCCTCTCCCTGATCGACACGAGTGAAGTCCCTGAACTCTGCGCTGGGTTTATTGAAGCTCCAGTGAGGAGTTTTTAGGCGGTTATGAAACTGAATTTAACATCAACGCCTTTTTATGATCCAAGAAATCGAATTAGACCATCAGGACCTAGATCGACTGTTTCTCTCTTAAATTTGGACACACCGAAAGACCCCGCTCATGATGACACCATCGAACATTTACAGGACCGAGAGGAGGAGGCCGGAGTTCCTCACAGGAGCTTTAATCACAGGAAGCTCTAGTAGTGCCTGTAACACCCACCAGGGGGCCGTAGAGCCCACGTGAAATCACAAATGAACTCTTTGAGTACTCCAAATCTCTAAAAACATGTGCAGACGACTCTTTTTCTTCCACAGCAGCAACTTTAACCCTTTACAAGCTAACAGACGATATAATGAGCCAAAAAGAAAGACTAACAGACTTGTTCAGCTTTAATTTTGTTGTGGTCGTCTGTTAAAGGAGCTTTAAAGGTGCAGGTGACTTTTTTATAACCTTATTTGAAATCGTCTCCCAGTTTCGTCTCAAACCATCGCACTCTCCAGACGACAGGTTTGAGGTGCGCACATTGAACAGATCTCCTCGTCAGTCTCCATGATCCTCTGTGACAGACTCGGCGGCGGCGGCTGTCCTGACTTTCTCACCATGTTTTATTCATGTTAAACTGCTCCGTTTGAAGGCAGGACTGAGGACTGGAGTGTGACCAGAATCTGGATTTAAGGGGGATACAAGTGTGTGTGTCAAAGCGTGTGATGATTCGAATCTCATGAGGGAAGGTGCATTAAAATATAAAACAGGGAAGTAATTCAGAGGTGATCCTGTTCGGTGGATTTAATCTTGTTTGCCAGGAGTTGCAAGGCTGCATTCAAATATTAGCGTCTTATTAAACATCTTATTATTTTGGAGGTTTCTTTAACTTTACCAACATCATTTTTCTGTCGTATACAATCAAACAAAACTGAACGAACAGAAGTTACAGCAGTAGGTCGACTTATTTAGACGATTCTTGATCAAATTTATTAAATTGTAAGGACTGATTTTTTCTTTTTCAGACATTTATGTAGGGAAATATTCCCCGATACTCTGCTTTCAGCGTTTTTTCAGTTGTATTTTTAGTCTGCGGTTGTCTGAAACTATCTTCATGAATCATGTAAGTGCTGTTTTCTACCTCTGATTTTTATCTAAAAGGCCAAAATATTCCTATTTACAAGTATTATTGGAGCATATTGATCAATATTAAATTGAAATGGAGTTGTTTTTTCTAATTTAACTGTGTCTTTTAAATTTCCAGAGTTTGGTTTTAAGATTTTAAAGAATTTTGTCTCAAGAAAAGTAAAATTGTAATGACGTCCGTTCTTGGTTTTTGCGCTTCAGTCTTTTCCTCTTGTCTAAAATGATTCGTTAATTTAAGGTAAATATTGATCAGCTGATTGGAAATGCTAGCGAAGTGTTCCTTCAGATCGGTATAGGAGTGTGAACATGCTGGATCGGTTTGTTGTGATGTGTGCGATAAGGTTGTGTCTGACATCACCCTTACTGTAGTGTTGTTTGTGGTTTCGACCAATCAGAATCGAGTATTTAACCCAGCTAGGTGAGCGTGTTTGATCTCAAGTCTCGTCTCATGTCTGTCTTCCGCAGCCCCCCCTCCACCTCCATCTCGTGGTGGCGCCCCTCCGCCTCCTCCGCCCCCCCACAGCACCGCTCCACCTCCTCCCCCTCCTCCATCCAGAGGGGGTCGTGGAGCCCCTCCACCTCCTCCTCCGTCCAGAGCCCCCGCCTCGGCCCCTCCTCCTCCACCTCCTACCAGACCAGGAACTCTGGGAGCCCCACCACCTCCACCTCCTCCAAACAGAGGAGGTCACCAGCCCCCTCCTCCTCCCCACCATCACCACCATCAGCCTCCTCCACCTCCCCCTCCATCCTCCTCGCACTCTACCGTGGCCCCTCAGGCTCCACCCCCTCCTCCTCCTCCACTGTCTCATCAGTCTCCTGTAAACACAGGTGGTAGCTCCGCCCCTGCTCCTCCTCCCCCACCTCCTCCTCCACCTCCCCCTCCCGGCCCTCCTCCCCCTCCAGAGCTGGACGGCATCGGTGGAGGCGGAGACTCTCCTCATTCGCCGAGCCCCGGCGGGAAATCGGCGCTGCTGGAGCAGATCAGAGGAGGAACCCAGCTGAAGAAGGTGGAGCAGAACAACCGACAGCCGGCCACGGGCACGGGACGGGACGCCCTGCTGGACCAGATCAGACAGGGGATCCAGCTCAAGACCGTAAGACCACCACAGAGTCGGTTCTCATAACGACTGATATGTAATAAGTGTAATATTCAGACTCAAAGGGGGGTAACAAACCTGGACCCTCTGCAGCTAAAGGGGGTCCTCCTGTGCTTGTCGTAAACTAAAGTGGATCTGGTTTTGTGTCTGCAGGTGTCAGATCATCCAGAGTCCAGCCCTCCAACACCGGCTCCTGCAGCGGGTATCGTCGGCGCTCTCATGGAGGTGATGCAGAAGAGGAGCAAAGCCATCCATTCCTCAGGTAATTCTGCAGAACTTCAGACCAGCTACACTGACTCAAGTCTGCTGGTGATGGTCTGGGTTTAGGTATCCCATTTATGCTCATGTTCAACCCCATACCTGGATTTCAGAGGTTCTGAGAAACCTGATTTTGCCACCTGCTGAACCCAAAAGAAACAGGGAAGGTTTTCCTTTAGTCACGTGAAGCCTGATGTTCCTGGTTTTACAAAGACCTCATGTAAAGATCGAGCCTCTAACCCGGGATTTCCACCGCATCCGGAGCGGCTCCAATCCTGAGCAGCGGCGTTTTTCGCTTTACGCCAATTCCTAGGCGAGGCGAGCTTTGTGGCGGATTACGGACAGTTGGAATCATAGAGAAGTCCCAAGAACCTGCAGATTCACGTGCAATCACGCGATCGTCTTTAGCCACATGGGCTAACCATATAAGCAGTAGATTGTGTCCTTCAAGAGGAGGAAATCTACTTCTAGACTTATAAAATCAGCATCTCCTCATCCATGGTGTCATCGGGGAGAAATGACGTCTAAAAACCTTTCACTTGTTCGTCCCCGCCTGTTTGCATAGTGTGAAATACGAACCGCTTGAAACACGGAGTGTTTTATTTTGAAAAGAAGCCGGATGTTTTATTTTGTGTCTGTGCCCGACTTCCTTTCCAGCACGGGTTAATCTGTGCTGAATTTATCCAGCATGCTTCAGCGTCCGGAAAAAAAAGAACTCTTGTGATCCGCAGCGGAACAGAAAGAAGCCGATGGAAATTGACACATTTACTTGAATGGTTACAATCAGCGAATACAGCTTTTTCGTAGCCATTCCAGATGCAGTGGAAATTGGGGGTAATGGGACGTGATGATTCAGAGTTTAAAGGATGGAGAGATGCTGATCACTCTCAGCTTCTTATAATGTCTCCGCCACTTTGCTGCTGAGTGTTTGTGATCAGATCCTCTAAATGTGTCTTCTGCCTTTTTTTCCCCCAGACGAAGACGAGGACGACGAAGAAGACGAGGACTTTGAGGATGACGACGAGTGGGACGACTAGTTGAAGACTTCTCTCCTCGCCCAGAGTTGACACTAAATATCTTCTAAAAATCTTCCAGCATCTGACTAAAACTGTAATGTAAATGTTGTATGAATCGGCTGTATATTTATTTTTTGCCTTTTCCTTTTTTTATGATAATTAATCTGTGCAATACCTCATCTGTTCATCACACACCCTCATCAGTAGAGACTCTACACTTTCCCCCCCAGGACATCCTGATGTTAGAAAGCACTTAACACCTCCATCAGCACAATGTGGAGACCCAGCTGGCTTCATTTCCTTAGAAATAACCGATAATATCAAACGCCGGCTCCTCAGCTGAGAGCATCTGTGCGGAGTCTTCGTGATCTCCGTGGGAAAAAAGTATTTTTTTCGTTCATTTCTTTGTGTTTTCATTCCAAGTCTAAGAAACTGAAAAGGGAGACATGTGCGACTCAAACAGGCAGGATCCTCTTTGTGTTTGGCATTTAAACCAAGATAACGCTATTTTCGTACCCATACGTTTCCTGATGAATCCTAGTTTAGTCGTGTTGTTGTTTTTTTTCTTCATGAATCTTTTTTGACCAAAACGCGGCTCCTGAGTCGCCCTAATTTTAGTTCAGCGTTCGTTTTTTTATGAAATTAAAGCCGTTCATTTGCACACAGTTTCTATGATAGTTCAGTTCCGTGTTGTTTTGAGTGTGTGTGTGTGTGTGTGTGTTTGTCACATGTTTTTATTTTATTTCCAAAAGGTCACGGCGCAACTTTCAGAAAGCGTGAAGAGCTGATCTTTACGTCGGACTTCAAACATGACTGAGTTTTTTGGGATTCATCCAAAAATTTCGTGTACACTTCCACACAGACTGTGGCATTTGTGAAATGATGGACGTTTTGTTCTCAGTGTCTGGTTGGTTGTTTTTGTTGTGACATCATTCCGTTATTTCCTGCAGGAGGAAACATCTGTGGCGCTCCAGTCGGCGTTTCAAACAGAAATCACGTCATGCATAAAAAGATAAAAACGCTCATCCTCCTCCATCTTTGATTTAACCAACTATAATTTTATGCAATGCGACAGTAAATGCCTCCTCGTGGAGAATAAATAAAAAAGCAAATAATAATGAACCAAATGTGGCATTTGCAAGCAGCTTGTGGGTTTGGCGATGCTTGTGATCCTCCGTGTGTAAACGGTGTAAAGAAGTAACTTTTAACTGTCCGTCTAAGAGTTTTTACCGTCCTCCAGCGAGGCTTAATGCTGCATCGAAAAGCCGAGATACTGACAGCGAAAACCTGTGAAAAGGGTTGGGGAGGGGTGGGGGGGCAATGAGAATACTAAATTGTATACTTAAATAAATGTTAATATTTACTGAAAAACAGCTCTCCTGGTCTTTGTTTTCTTCGGAAGAGTTTTGTCAAACACTTTTTAGGTATGTGACATGACATCTGCTAAAAGTCTAGAGTCTACGCAGCCATAAGTCCACCAGATTTTACAGCATGAAGCTTTATGGAGATACAGATTTCCTTTTTCAATAGGACCCCGACTCGGACCCTGCCCACAGCGCCAAAAATACCGGGAACCGTGGTGTTACTGTGCTTGGTAGTCCAGCCAATTGGTCTGAGCAGGACTCTGTAAAAGATCTCTGGAGTATCTTCATCACCAGAGCAACAACACCGACGAGCTGAAGGAGCTGTTAAAGGAACCTGGTCTTCAAGAACACCCCAGTAGAGACACAAAACAAGTACTGGGTGCAGAGAATTAGCGTAATTTACCAAGAAGGTCAAGAATTCTGTATTATAGTTTTGTAATATTATGTATGAGGTTGTGGATCTTTGAATCTTTATGAGTTTGCCTCAAAGACAGAATATTTCACTTTTTGTAAGATGAATCTAAAATGTATAACGGCTTCACTTTCTGAATTGAAATACGGGGGAAATTAAATGCAATATTTTGAGACTTCATAATTATTGGAGCCACACCTGTACAATTTAATTAACATTTCTTTAAGTCCCAACAGGAAAAAACTGGTCAAACACCTGCTGTGTCAGATGAGTACAGGATAACCAGGTCTGGATTCAGTGAGCGTGAATGTAAGAGGTAAGTGTTGAACTTGTGTTTTGATTTTAATACTTGCATATGAACATTCACTCCTTGTTTGCTCAGTTTTGTAGGTGAAGTCAAGCTGTATGATTGTTGCACAAACAATTATTTTTATGAACAAAAGTTAACAGTAAATGCTTTAGTAATTATGGTAATGAAGAACTTTTAAGAAATGAGCATAAAGGGACTTTGTACACGTTGAAGAAACTAATATGTCAGATTACCATCAATCACCTAACCACTAAATTTTACTGTCACACACTGAAAATGTCTATTTTTTACATTATGAAATGTTAGTCTCATTTATGTCTGTTCACTTTAAATCAAGATGGTATCACTTCTCCCAGATTTCATTTAACTCATCCAATCAGTGGTACTTTTTATGGTCTTTGCTGCCACTTGGATCCTGCCCCTGGAAAAACCTGGTCCAAAGAGGATAGATCCTAGCATGGTGAGTAATGTTCTCCCGAAGAAGTTTTGGACTCTAGAACTTTCTGTCAAGCCTGGCGCGCGTCGTTTTACTTTAAGGACGTGTAAAGTCATAAAATACGAAACTAAACGAGCCGCAAATCCTACAGATCTTAAAAGTATGTACATGTTAGCATATAGATATAGTTTGTTTGGGTCCAGCCTCGTTAAACAGAAGCGAAACCGTTCAAGCTTAAGTGCTAGCATCGCAAATTCAATAGCACCGTAATGTTGGCATTTAGCTAAAAACTGTAGAGTTTAACCTTAAACTAAACTTAACTCAACTTTATTTATGAAGCACTTTAAAATAACCACAGTTGAAACAAAGTGCTGTTCATAAGTAGACAAAAACAACTCAGACATAAAAGCAAATTAAAACAACTAAAAGCAACAAAGCTGTTAGCATGTCTTATTATGTTAGCATGCCTAACTGAAGTTTGGGGATTAGCTGATGAGCACAATGACAGGCCAGAAATCTACACCTCAGTCTGACTCCTCCACTGCTGACAAACCTGAATATGACTCAGATTTACACTGAATATTTGATTTTTATGTGTAGTAAAGAGCCAGAGTGGTACTGGAGTGAAAGCAGGCAGCAGGAATCTCCCTTCACAGATAGGGGAGAGTGGGGTAAGATGAGCCATTTTTCATATTTCAGATCACTACATCAAGTCAATCATAGTTTTGTCTCTAACTAGTGTATCTGCATATATTTCAAGATGTTTTGTGTCCCTGCTAACCAACAGAATGAGTGTAAACAGAACTGTGTTGGTAATATAGCATGCCAAAAAAAAGTGGTCTCCTATGGTCAACTTACCCTGTGTACCCTGTGTATGTATGGGGTAAGTTGACCATAGGAGCAGGGTCAGTTGAGCCGCATCCCTACTACTCCTCTAAATAACAGTCACTTCTTCACATTCATCAAAATATTTTTTAAGGTTAAAGTAATAGAGTGAGAGCGGTACATGAGTGGAAACAGGCAGCAGGAATCTCCCTCCACAGATATCTGACTGTGTCTGTCAGCACCCCGAGAGGAGGACTTAATGTTCCTCCAATTAAACTTCAGTCTAACATTTAAGTGGCATTTTATAAAAGATGTAAAGTGTTGTAATGAGGGGTCACACTGAGACTGTAATCCCCTTCCACATCCCCCTGAAGGGAGTCCACATTTACTCCCAACAGCTGTTCGATGAACTTTTGTGACTCTGAGCGTGTAACCACTCTGGATTACAGAGAGATTCACATCCAGACCGTTGGATCTGAAGCTCTCATTATCTGCCAACTGTTATCAAATCAAGTCATATTATTCAGTAGAACTTTCTTCAAAAAGAAACAAAACAGTCTCAGTAGCCTGAATTTCAAGATAAATCTTGTGCATGACCAAAAAAGATCAAAATGTCCCTGAAGAGCTTAAGCATAGTTTTACACACTATTCTTTGTAGCTTAACTTGTTAATTTAGCCAAGGTGTATTCAGCAGTTAAAAATAATGAATATTTATAAATTATATTAATCCAATCCAGAGTCAAAGATGTCTAAAACTGCATAGGAAACCATTTAGTGTTTCTGTAAAAATCAAACAAATTTAAATCGAGTCAGTGATGCTTATTTTATTTCTTTGCACAACAGTTTCAATGATAGTTTTCTCACACAGTAACAAAATGCATCAGTGAGATGTGAAATGACAAAATCATTTACAGTCTGCTGCTATGCTGTGTTAAAAATTAAACAAGATACTATCAAAAAGTGACGTGTGTGAATTAAAAAGGAAATTTATCAATATAAAGTGAGAGGATTTCAGGTGTGATCAGCAGGTGAGTTCAGGCGAGTGATGGGTCCACCTGAAACAAGAAACATCACAGAAGTTAAAGTCCATTACCATGGAAGAATTTACTTAGTTTTACTGCTAAGACCTGATTTCTACTTCTGTACCACAACTACATGCGCCACAGCCCATGTCGTAGGTCCACATAGCGCTGTACCAATGCAGGTGCCTGCATGCCAAGGCCTGGTCGATGCTACTGCGTCAGATAGAGTCAGATACCATTGTGGGCACTACATAATGCTGCCTGGCAGTGTGATGTCTTTGTCTATCCTTATCATAGTGCCACCTTTCTACCTTTCTCTCCGGCCATGTTCCCTCCTTGTTTGCATGCAGGAAACAATGGCAACTGAATCCAAGTGTAATATGTTTGAGTGGACTTCTATGAAATCACTGCAGCCCTTCATTAGCTTACAGGAGAAAGACTGTAAGGCCACTGAGAAAAGAGACTTGGGTTGGTGGTGTCACAGGGTATGCCTATTGCCAAGGACTTTCCCATCATCCCTGTTCTTTACTCAGTAACTATGTAGTTCATCTTCTTCAACATTTGTTCCTTTTCTTCTCTTTCTTCTTTTTATCTTTTCAACTGCATTACTCCCAGATTCAGTAGCCATGGTTTCTAGTACACAAATGGGGGGAAAAAAGAGGAACTGGAAACTGGCGGTATGACCGATACCTTGCACTGTCGGGGGCGGTGTATTGGAGGTGCACTTGCTTAGCTACAGCATAGTCAACACAGAAGTAGCTACAGACCAGGTTATACTCAGCCGCCTTATTCGTTCATGTCTATCACACTGCAGAGCAGAAGTGCACGATTATCTCTCAAGGTCTTCCGGCAAACTACACGACTTTAAAAAGTCTGAAACCCTCATGGAAATGTGAACTAGCACTTAAGTTTGGTAATTTTGAATCATCACGAATAAAAATAAACCAAACCGTTTCCCAAAAGCTCTTTGAGCCCTCTGTCTTATCAAGCAGCAAGTGAAAAAGTCAAACTATTTTTAACCTGACAGAGAGCCGAAGAATTCACTGAGCGACAGAGGCTATCATCTAATGACAGCAGGCGTTCACACTTGGGGGGTCTAATGGCTTTTTGGGGGCTCGATTATTTATGTGATGCTTTACTCAAGCACAACAAAATTCCTTTAAACCCCAAACAGATCTGTCAGTGACAGATTCTCAGGGAGTCTCACCCTTTTTAAGGACATGATGCTGCTCCCGCGAATGGCAGCCATCAGGTCGTCTCGGCTCGATCTCTGCAGCTGCGGCAGGCGTGACGGCTCAGCTCGTCTCTTCTGGATTGATGGCCTCAAAGAGTTCCTCAGGTCTTTGAGAATATCTGCACTCTCCTTTTCATTGGCGCCATTCTTCAGCTTCTTTGACTTGGCTTTCTTTTGGTTTGACTGGCTCTTTGTGGCGTTGGAGCTTTCGTGCTGTTTGACCATTTCTGCGATCTTTCTGGTCGGTGGGTCTGAGGACGGAGGGTTTCTGTTTTCATGCTCAACCTTCTTAGAGGATTGTGAAGGCTTCTTTGGTGGTTTGTTTTCTGCGGATGAACCAGGGCCTTGTTCTGACACCTCAGGTGGACTTTGGTCCTTCTTCTGCTGGAGCCTCTTTTGTCGGTGTTGGTCCTGGTTGCGTGTCAGGATGCTGGTTACTGTCATCCTTGGGCCTGGGAGGTCAAACTGGTACCCAAGCTTGAGCAGGGTGGTGTTTTCCCTCAGCAGCTGAACCATCTCCATCTCCACTTTCCCCCCACAGATGTGCCTCTGATTGTGGAAGCGAAGCTCCACCAGAGTCTTGTTAAACTGAAGTGCTGCCAGCAGAGCTAAGATGCCTTGACCAGACACAAAGTTGGACTCGATGTTGAGGTTTTTGATGGAACAGTTCTCTGTGAGCATCTTGGAGACGGCAAAGGCGACACGGTCATCTGCATGGGTGTTGGCGAGGCTGAAGACGTTGACATGAGTGTTTGTGCTCAGGGCTTCTGCAAAACGAAGCAAAGTTTCTTGGGAGATGTCTTCGATGTTGTTGAGGTTGACTTCGCTTACCGTGGGATCATTGTTCAGGATCTGCTCCAGAGTTTTGTCAATGATAGTTGGGTTTCCGCTGGGTCTGTCAGAATTTTCATTCAGGTTTTGGTTTGTGCTTTCAGTCCTCTTTGATTCCCCTCGAGAGCCCTTTGACAGACTGTTCTTTGGAGGACATTTACTCCTGATCAGAGCCTCTTTTTTACATTCGTCTTTCTTTTCATCCTCCTTTGCATCATTTTTGCCACAGACAGTCGTCAGCTTCTTCCCTTTCGGTGAAATCTTCTTTCTATCACTGTCCAGAGTCTTACTCTTCATGCTGGTGGAAACTGTCACTCGTTCCTCGATGATCTTCTCTGGGCATCCCTCCTGCACACGATAACAGGGTAGAAAATTAGGTCGAACCCTGACATTCTCCAGCCTTTGACTTTTAATTAATAACTCTCCCCCACACCAGCAGACAATCATTAAAGCTGGCATTTCTCCCAGGCTTTATTTTTAGACACTGTCCCAGCCACATGGAGAAGGCCACGAGCTACATATGACACTCTCTACACTGAATGAAACAGTTCACATAAATACCACTTTTGATCCTGGCTGGATATTAATTTTTACACCTCGATGCTCTTAATTGCACACAGCAATGTCAGTTAAATCCTCTAATTTTTTTTACAGTTACTTTTTATTTGTTTAAGAGTTGCATTTGTATAGCTGCAAGATTTGATGGATACAAAAAAAGTACAATATTTCAAATTCTGCAGAACTAGAGGCAACACATGCAGAGAAGTTCAGGCTCATATTTCCAAATAGTAGTCAGATTTCATACACTGAATCCTGCGTGTCCCTCTGTAACACCCCAAAGGTATCACCAATTTGTCATCAGGGTTGATTTTTTCATTTGTGGTCACAGGAGACACTTCACACCGTTTTATCTATGATCATCAAACTGAACTCCATGTGAAACATTTTGATCCCACTGGAACTGAATCTCCCTCCTGATTTTTCTAAACATGCTTTTCTAGATTACGATGCACTCTGACATGTAGTCTCTTTTAGACTTGTCGCTCACAATGGCACATTCTTTGTGGATACCATGAACGCTTTCTAAGTGTATTTTTATTCTAATATTATCATGAGGGGGCTGGGGAGGTTCGTGAGGAGCTTAAACTGATTTATTTATGGATAAGCATGGTTACAAAATCAACACATTAAATTGGATCGAGCTATATTTGTCCCAAAAGGTCTCTTTTTCTTTAATTGGCTTTATATTTTGAGCTTCTGTAATTTCAGGCAGTATTCCCATCAACACAGTACAATAAACGGTTTCAACAGTGTGTTGAAGACGGTAACTGCTTAAATCACTCAAGTGTCTCTTAGTACTGGCGTTGATAAGAATAGCATTTGTGCCAAACTGTTGATAGATTTCCAAGTGGAATATTTGAGCCTGATCAAGCCAGAATGTTTTTTTTAGGCTGTAAGATCTCCGATTGGCAAGACAAGTTTATCTACATTGCACATTTCGGCAACAGACTAATTCCAAATATTAGATTCACAAGCATGATCTAAATTTGTGGAATAACCTGGGTAAACCATGTGTGCAACCATGGTCCAGGTTTCTATTTATTTGAAAACTAAAATTAGCAGCAGAAAAGGTTCGATTTTAAAACTGGAACCAGTTTACTAGTTGCAAAATATTAATGTGAATTTGGTATTTTCTTTTCTTCATTAGACACTGTCTTGTTCTTTAAGGTACCAAGTTGTGGATTCCTTATTTCAAACAAACTGAAAATGATTCCCACTGACTCTTAAGTCTCAGTGTTAGTCCTTACCTGTCCACGGTTTGACTGACTCTTGTCATCTCTGAGCAGTTTCTTGTTCTCGTCCTCCCAGTACTTTAACAGAGCGTCCCTGTCAAAAGTTGCTGTTGGAGTTTTGGCAGTCTGGTCTTTTTGTCTCAGGCCGATCGGGATGTTATCATCCAGCACAGCCAACTCCCTCTCCAACTCTTGGAGCTCCTCGATGGAAAGAGTGGCCAGCAGCTCATCTTCATCCACCTCCTCGTTTCTTTTCACCTCCCTGTGGTACCCCAAGGTACTCATTGTTCTGCACAGGTCTTCAGACTTCCTCAGTCTTCTTTTTTTCTTGTTCTGTTTCCTCTTCTTCTTCTTCTTATAACCCCTTTTGCACTTGATTAAATGGTCTTCAGGTTGTCTTGGCTTTCCTGCTTGAATCTTCCTTCGCTAACTGACTCAACCTCCATAAGATTCCTCAAGATCAGGGATGCTGGGGACTACTGGAGATGGATCAGAGAGTCCTTGTTCATCCACTGCTCCCAGCTGCCAGAGGAGACTGTCAGGAGGAAAGGGGTGGGCCACCCTGCCCCTAATGGCCCTGTCTTTTTTTAGGTTGTTGGATTGGGGTCATTGAGATAGACTTAGTGCAGGAATGTGAGCCCTCTGAGTGGCCTGCACCAAGAGCTTATCAGTGGCTCGTGCCTCTGCAGAAATGGAGGGACGAAATGGCCGAGGGGAAACATCGGGGATGAAGTCGTTATACGTTATGTAATGTGTCAGGACATAAACAAACATGATAGTTGTAATGTTGTCAGGGAAACACTTGTTGTCCCTCAGAGCAGTGGGGTTAGGTACAGTACAGCTCTGGCTGGCACTGAGGGTGAGTTAAGGGTGACCAGTGATGTTTACAACCACTGCCAGTGAATCACAACCAGATATTGTCCACATGACCAAAGAGTCGACAGTATCCAAGCACAAAGAACTAAATTTAGACAACACAAACAAAACAGACGACAAAACCAAGAAAGACAGTGAAACAAAGCTCCACAACACAACCACATACCAACAACTCGTATGCAGAAAAACAAGTTAAATATAGCTCTAAATTGAGTTCAGACAACTGGGATATGACTTGGGAAAGTACCGCAATAACTGCTGATTGGTTGCTAAATTGTACATGTTTACAGCACTGTTGTACGGGATCCTCTGCATCATTATTGTGTCCCCCCTGCACTTGTCCCTGGAGCAGCAGCTCTTTGGAGCTGACCCTCGGTCTTAGTGTGCTGAAGAAGAGGTGGTTGTTTGGTTGACAGGACAACTGTGAGCTCAATAACAGCTCACATCTATCAGTGAGTGTGTTTAACAAGATGCTTTGCACTTATATAATGTTACATGTCTACGTAGCAGCATTCTCTCCTCTTTGATCTGTTGTAAATTTGACCTTTGACCGGATTTATCCCCTTTAAGCATCAGTCATCAGGCCCTACAGTCCAGACTTGAAATGGAAAAGAGGTTCAGTTACAAAACAAAGAGTCAAACTACGCTACAAGACGCCATCTGTCTTCTGTTCCTGGTTCCATGCGGGTAGTAGAGCATCATACAGTTATAGCAGCAGGCCTCATGTAGAGTTACAGTCCCAGCTAGTGGTAGTGGTTGCACTAGAGCTTAGACACAACAACATATGACCAATATGTTGGGCGAAAAATAATGAAAACATTAATTGGAGGCCAAAAATCCAAGTTAATGCTGCTCTTACAATTGGTCAGTATAATCCAGACAGACTGACACACAGTCAGCTGATCACAGAGCAGCTGCCACTCAGTAAGACTGCTACATTAGTTGGTATGTCACCTGAAAATCCTGTGACATGTTGCATACCGCCTTTTTTATTGTCTGCTCAAATCTCCATGCGCTGTGCTTTGTTTTAGCTAATGATCACACCTGCCAGTTACAGCTGCCTTAGATCTGACGTAACGTTGGTCTGGTGTGACCGTGTTGGAGGTCATTCAAAGCAATGCGACCTCTTTCTATTATCAGATTCTCGGGGAGCTGACAGAATGTGGAGCCATGTTAGTGCTGATGTTTCTGCGGGTCAGGAGGTTAAATTTAGAGTTGATCTATTTCCACTATCTGTCAGCCTGAGAAGGGGCAGCTCACACATTCTCTCTGTGTTTACTCTGGGCATGTTGTTGCTCTTGAAGTTCCTCTGATGGCCACTAGATGGGAAAGAAAATACCTGTGATTCCAGACTTTACACTTGACATCACTTGAGTGTCAAATGTGCCACTGAATGAAATAAAATGAAATAAATGAAAAAGGGCCATGATTACACCGCATGAAAGACAACTTAAAGTCTCTCCTCAGACTCACTAAGAGTTTAGGGTCAAGACAGGACAGTTTCTCTTGGACTACTTCAGCATCAGCTCTGTCTTTGTGCATCAAGTAGATATGCTCTCTGCTGGCCAGTAGTAAGACTGCAGGTACTTCTGTGTTTGCACCAGTGTTGGAAACCAGGAAGGTTTGTCCACTGCTTGGTGAAGTCCATGCATCTAGCTCTTGGATTGGACAAAATCTTGCACAACAATGATTTTGAGGCAATATGCGTAAGAATAAAATAGTTTAATAAAATGCGGTACAAATTTATTTACATCTGTTGGTACTTTGGCAGCAAAAGCTTATCCCTAAACACCCATAATTCCTAAATGATAGCCAGGACTACAGGAGAACTTAATTAGATACAAGAAACAAGCTTTCTTGCAAGGTCACATCCCAGTAAACAGTCACAGTTTTCTGACCCACATCAAATTGCCAATAGAGTCACTTACAAGAAAATCTGCTTCTTTATTCACTTGCACTGTGTTTGCTGCATTTTTCTATTGCTCTTCTGGAGGTCTCATCACCATCCGGTCTGTAATACTTATGCAATGTGGAAGGTGAGCTAAGACAAATAAATTAATGCCCTTACACCAAAACAGTCCGATAAGTGATCCCATCTTACTCAAAATGCTGACAGTACATGCATTGACTGGTACAGTACATGTAAAAGATCCCGGTGCTGGGTTTAAAATCATGGTCACCCTTGCCAAATACTGTTGACAAGACAGAACGTGAAGCCATCGCCAAACGCCCTTCAAGCAGGACCCGATGTGCCTGTTGTCCGTTTCCAGCTCTTCAAAATACTTCAATATAGCCGGCATGTGTAAGCTGTCGTCACCTCTATCACCACTAATTTCTGTACCTACCAATACCGATATCACACTGATACTCTTGGTTGTCCTCCTACTTCCTTCCTGAAAATAAGCACCATTTCATCTCCAACACCAAAGACCCCTCATATAAGATATAAAACCATCTGAACTCAGTCCTCCCTGCAGATGAGTTTGGCGTACAGGTCACTGTCTCTGAACAGCAGGTAGTCCTTCAGCCTGTTGGGAAGCTGGACAGACATCAGACTGCTGCAGCTCAGGTGTTTCCTGATCACCACCCTGCTCAGGTGAGACAGTGAACGAGGGTTACCTGCATCAGACAGAAAAGCAGTTTGTGTTCTTAAAGGCAGCGCTTCAGTCTGGTTGATTTTACCTCTCTGTATCAACTCACTTATGGTCCTGTGAATGTGGGGCCACTCCTTGTGATGCTCCAGGATCTTTGTCAGTTTGCTGCAGAGAGAAACTTGACCAACATACTCCAAGAGGATGGAGATGATTCGGCCGACCAGGTTTCCCAGCCAGGAGACGCTGACGAAGTCACAAAACTGGAGAAAAAAAAACAATCAAAACAGAGGGACAATCATACTGAATCATACTGTAACATCAACCCTGGAGTGTGGACTACTATGAAGCCTCAACTTTGCAATTGTTGCTGTTTCCATTCTTGACCCAGAGGTGACTAAACTTGGACTAGAGAAAGGCACATCACCGGCTTTGTTAAGCTGGGATATCAACCAGGCTGTACGGTGGGGAAGCAGTTTGCACAGAGTCATGTTCCTGGTTCAATCTCCAGCTGGACAGGAGTCTTCCTACATGGAGTTTAAATGATCCAGTTTCCTTGTCAAGTCTGGTATTTTTTGTCAGTGCGTCGCTGATTGAACCCACTGTTTGGCTTTGGTTTTAACAGCGTTTGTAGGTCAGCAGGTCATTTTGGGTCATTTTGCAAGCATGGTGCATTGGTACAGTGTTTTGACTGGTTTACATTGAGACATGTTAGTGTATAGATATTTGTTGGGACCTGGGACATGGAGTTTGAAATGGGACAGTTCTGGTCCAACAGGGATTTTTGGTAATTCTACTCTTGGTACCCCAGGTTTTTTTCCACAGTCCAAAGACTGTCCAAAACTCTTGAGTTAACTCATGGCTGTAAGTTATCCAAGGGGTCTAAGTGTGTGTATAATTAGTGTACTCATTTCTCTGTATCAGCCCTGTGATTGGCCGGTGACCTGCTCTCTCTCACAGACACTACCTCTTGTCTATTGACCGATGGGTTTACCTGATTTACTTACCGTGACTTTTTCGTCCTGTTGTGCATAGCCAAACTCGCTGAGGTCCTCCCAGTCGTCATCACCATGGTTACAGCAGAAACACTTCCCAGCGTCATAGCCGTTGTTGAGCAGCAGCCTCATCATCACCTCGTCCTTCAGGCAATACTGCAACGCCGTAGGAAACACTGTGTCGTTTAACGCCGTGAAGTAACAATTCACGTTTGCTTTGGCCGCCAGCAGCAGCTTCACAATCTCATAACGCCCCGACCTGACCGCCACCAGGAGGCAGCACAGAGGATCCAGGTCAGGTTTGGCTCCTGACCTCAGTAGAATTTCAGTGCAGGTTGCATCACCGTTGGAGACGGCAAAGTAGAGCGGACTTCTCCTCATGTCTCCGTAGTTTTCAGAGATGTGAGGAGCCAACAGCGCATTTACATCAAAGCCGTTCTGCAGCAGGAGCTCCAGGCAGTGGGCGTGGCCTCCGTCAGCAGCAGAATGGATGGGGCTGTGGCCGGATAGCCGCAGGGCTCGTCTGGTGGTGATGGGGATGAAAATCCTCAAAGCTCTAGAGGAGAATAAAAAGAGCTTGAAGAGTTAGAAATTAGATTAAATTCCGGGAGATCGGACATTTCTAGATTCCGCTGTCTTTAAGATTTTATAAATTTATTAGGTTACCTACAGGAACAGGAACTAAATACAGCTTTGATTTGCTAGATTTAGTCCTCATGATTACTCATCTTAAAACATCACATACGTTGAGTCCAAACTCTGATAGCCACAGTAGCAGGGTCTGACATTTAAATGACTTATAGCCAAAGTCAAATGGTTTCAACTGGATTTTAGCCCAGTTTATCAAGGCGTTAAACCTGACTTACTCTGAAAACCAAGTTTAAGTCTAGTTTAACTCAGCTTCAACTAGTTAGCACAGTTTTAGCAGAGTTTAGGTGGAGTTTGAGCTGTGTGTCACTTGAGTAAACTTAGTTAAGCTGGGTTGTAATGGTTTTAAAAGGGTTTTGGACAAGCTTGCTTAAGTTGAGCTTTGTTTTCACAAATTTAAACCAGTTAAAATCCTAATGAGGATTTTAACTGGTTAAAATTTGATCCTAGTGTGTAACTAGGTCCTTCTTACAGGTAGTGTCCCTCATGTGCCGCTCGGTGGATGGGCAGCTGGGAGCTCAGGTTGCGGGTGTTGGGATTTGCTCCATGCTGCAGCAGGATGTCGATGCAGTCTGGATTCCCTGAACCTGCAGCGTCGTACAGGACGCTGTCGCCGTTTGGCGCCTGGGCGTTCACATCAGCACCTTCATGAAAAATAAATAAAAACATCACTCTATGAGCTGAAGGTGTTTAATAGGCTTTTTAAAGTTGTTAACATTAATATGAAATTTGAAACTGAGCAGATTGTGAACTCACCATGTTTGATTAGGAGCTCCAGGACATCAGGGTGGCTGTACTCGGCAGCAATGCCCAGGGGAGTGACTCCATGCTGGTCTGTTTTGGAAACCTGACCTCCATTCTGCAACAGGAGCTCCATCACATCAAGACAGCCTGCCCTGGACGCCTCATGCATGGCAGTCCACTTCTTTAGACACACCTGCTCCACCAGAGCTCCTCCAAGTATCAGGGTGGAAACCATCTGATAAGATCCAGCTCTGACTGCTGCAGGTCAGACAGGAGAGAAGAAGGTGTCACTGGAGCCAACAAAATAATTGAAGTCAAATTCACAGTTTTTGAATAGTTTTCTGACCTAAAAGCAGGGGGGACTCATTCATACTGTTGGTGGTGTGAGGAGAAGCTCCATGGTGCAGCAACAGCTTCACATTCTCGACCAAATCGTCTTTTACAGCCAATGTCAGAAAGGTCTCTCCTTCTAACGTCTTTTCCTCCAGAGTCAGACTGAAAGATGCTGAAGAACACAAGAAACTGAGTGTCATTTCACAAAAATAAGCTCTGAATTTTTCCAGAAAACAATAATTGTTTGTTTTATTATCTGACTGGAGAGGGCGCAGAGCGTTGCAGACAGATGCTGAGGCGGAAAAACACCGAAACAAACATGGAGAGTGCTCCAGAAGAACCTGTGCCACAACACAAATGGAAGAAGCAACTGATAAAGCATTGAAGCTGCAGCTAAGACAACATGTCTCTGATTAGTATGTTCTCGCTGTCTTGACTTTCATGTTTGTGCCCAACACTTGTAAGGCGATTTGAGGCGCTTGCCACAAACAGTAAAGTTTAAGTTACCCATTAAGTAATTTGTGCATTTGCAGGGCATTCAGTGTCCTTGTCAGCCACCATAGCAGTTGGCAGGTACGACCCAGAGCTCTGACATCTTCATAATGCAACAGCAAAATAAAGCCACAATAGCTCAGCAGGAGACAGACCAGCTTACAGAGTGGGAGGGGATTTCTGTAATGCATGCCTAAGCAAATTCCTCCTGTCATTATGTCACTACAGGAACCCATTTGAATCACCTTGTTGAAAATATGTTTTCCCAGGGCTACAGAAACATTGCAGAAGCTTTGACATTCCCACATTCTCAGAAGTGCTAAGCTAAAAGCTGACAAAAGCATACGTGCGTAGGCAAATATAAATTCATAATATGGAATCTTAAGTTAAACACATATAGCAGTTTACAGCCCGTGAAGCTGCTCCCTTCGCTTTAGTTTTGACCTCTTACCCACCGTACAGCACCACCTCCAAGACCTGGACCACGGGTTGGACTGCCGCCCAGTGCAGAGGATACCAACCACGCTCATCCACCTGACCAAAGGCTGCTGGAAATTCACAGAGCTCCTGTAGAGTCAACATGTCACCTGCAGGGGGAGTTACTGTGAGTAGATTTGACTTTATCTTAAATTTTCATTCCAGTCTGTCTGGACCCATTCAGCATTTATTGGGGATTTTGGGTGTTTTTCCACCTCTGCATTCAGTTGAACAGCCCTGCACCCACACCCCACCCTCTTAAATTGTACTCTGCTTACAGTCATCCTTTTGTAATGAAAATGGACAGTAGATGGTTCATTTTTACCTCGTTTGATGGCTGCCACAAGCTTCAGATATTCACTCCTTAACACAAACAGGAAGATGAGGGTGAATCTTCGATAATGACACTCCGAGCTTTATATGTGTGGTTGAAGTGAATCGTACCTTCCTGATCCTGTCAGACTGCTTTTCTGAAATGACTCCTGGATGCTCATCTGAATGTCGTACCCCAGGAGTTCATCTTCATCCATGTCATCAGCTGCATCCATCCTACCCAGACAGGTACAAACACACACAGTCACAGCTTAGAAGCCTTACTTTGTGAAAGTACCAGACTCTGAATCCTGTTAAAGTTAACCTGAAACTGAAATTCATGCTGCGTAAAGTCAGAATCAGTTTGTTTACCAAGTTGTGTGGGTGGTCACTATTTCCTTTTTGTCCAAGAGCTACATGTGAACACGCGAAGAGGGATGGATGCTCATTTCTCAATTAGTGATGCAGAAGTTCTTGTACTTGTGTTTGCAGCAGACTAAGTTAAATGGCGCCGCCCTCTACTGGCCAAAGAAAGTAGATTTATTGCACATGCATGTCCAGTTCTTACGCAGAGTCTGTGATTTTCATATACGCAACAGAAACATCCATTATAATGACACTGTGCATTTGTATCAGTGTTCAGATAACTTAACTGTTTTTGACCTGTTTTGCTAAGCTCTCACGTCATCACACCCTGACAGCCTGGAGAAACTGACTGAAGTTTTCACCGAGGTTTCAAGAGTTCTGTGTATGTATGAAAACAACTTTGGAAACATATCCACCAAAGAACCACACAGGAACTGTTTATTATTAATGCAAAGAGCTGCACAGTGTTTAAACCGAATGGTGCATTCATTTGCAATGCAAGAACCATTGATTCCACTTAAGTAGACTGATCATGAGCATGAATAAAGCAGGTCTGTCTGGAGCCGGTCAACATTTAGTGGGGAAGTGGGTCACGGGTCTCAAGTGTCGGCGAGTGAACTCGTGTTTGAGCGCAGAGACACTTTCAACACGAGTCTGAGATCAAATTAAACATCAAATAACTCGCTTTATCTCGTCTTGTCTCGCCATTTAATCTCTACTTTAGGACACTATGACCCTTGACCTCTTCTCTGTTAATCACAGATGACACGGTCAGTCCAGACACAACATAACCTTCTAACTTTGCATCGTCCTGCAAAGGGAAACATGCAAATGAAACCGCAAACATGCTTAAACATTAACTTTTAAAGTCTCACCTGATAAATGAGGCACCTTCAGAGTCATAGGACGGAAAATCAGCAGCAGCAGAGTGTTTGTTTCATAGCTGGACTGCCCCCCCACTCCTCAAACACACACCCTCTCTCTCACACATACACACACTGCAGCATGTTATTAATAGCCGTCACCTGCTGCAGTGTATTTAACATGCAGACCGCTCCACAGAATCAAAGGGAAAAACGTCTCTCTGCACATACTTTCCACAGATAAGCACAAACAATAATGAGGTGGTGCGTATGAATATTTATCGTGTCGTTATGATTCATTAGACAGTGACACGTTTCAGCTACAGAGGAGATCCATCTGCTGCGAGCGACGCCGTTAAACAACGAATCCGTGACAACCTGCCCAATCAATGAGGGGAAGTAAAGAGTGGAATTTTTGACCTTTTCTTCATTTGCTGCACTTAAACTGTGACTTTTGACCCTTCTGCTTTTGGTTAGCATTGTGGCTGTCCAGATTTTCTGTTCTGATCTTGGTACATGAAGAAGTCTAAATGCCTCAGTGCAACGGAGAAAACAAAACCATAAATATGTTTAAAACTTCCTGCTAAAATAATCTTACCTAAAACAAACACTGAAAACTCACATAAATCAGGCTGACACCATCTTAGATCCAAATAACAGCATGATTAAGTGGATTTGTGTAAGATTGTCTGATAAAATACACACTACAAACAAAATACAACAGGATGAGTAAAAAACATGAAAAAGTCCTCATTCTTCTCTTTTTATACTTGTTAATAAAAAATATAACAAAACTCCCATAAATGTTCATTTCTCTCTACAAATAAATCTAATTAAATCCTTTCTGCATGAGAATGATTAAAATGGGGCCAAAAGAAACTTGAAGGAGAAAGACTTGTTGACATTATAAACGAAACTTTGATGCTGCTTCAGATATAAAGTACAGATCACAAACCATTGTCAGCTTAAAGGCATATTCCGGCATAAAATTAAATTAGGGTCAAACCCATCGTAATACCCCCTCGAGAGCTGAATTTTGCCGACTGCTTGCTTCTCTGGTTATACAAACTTTAGTCATGACCGCACGATAGCAATACACAGCGGTCTACGTCTCCATAAACAAACCTCAACCAAAACGCCACTCTATATCCATAAATAATGCTCAGAACAGCACCTAACTTCATCAACAGGACATATAGGGTCCCAGCCATAGTACTAGCCACCAAACATCTTTTTAGCTTTGACTAATTTCTTTAGCAAAGAGACCAAACACAACTCACCCACTCTCCTCCAGCAGCTGCTTGTTTGTGGGGGAGCCCTGACGAAGTTTGGTGCTGTTCTGAGCATTATTTGTGGCTAGAGTGGCTTTTTGGTTGAGGTTTGCGTGTGGAGACATAGACCACTGAGTATTGCTATCGTGTGGTCACCACTAAAGTTGGTGTAACTAGAGAGGCAAGCAGTCGGCAACACTCATCTCTCAAGGGGGTGTCTATCTCTGTGTTACTGTGTGTTTGACCCTAAATTAATTCTACACCAGAATATCCCTTTAAATTTTGCTACAATGTTGTTCTTGTCCCCATCACCAGAAAAAAAAAATAATAGTGGGAGTATTTGCGTGATATAGATGCCGTCTGTGCTGCTACCTCACCACCAGGGTTTCGTATAAAAGCAAGACATCTCACTGATCACCTGCTTCAACTAAAACAGAGATAGTGAATACTGAATGGTGGTTCAGAGATCCATTTTTACCACAGTGTCAACAGGCAGAGGTTAACTCATCTCTGTGTATTAATTTAATATGATGAGTGTGATCAGGTCATTTTTTTGACCAATCAAAATTAAGTATTTAACTTAGATGGGTGCCAAAAACAATGAATAATGTCAAATGGTTGGAAAAAGTTGTACGTACTTTCGAGTCACTTTTTTATTCAGGAACAGAATACTTACAGACCGTTATAAAAAGTACTGTGAAGTAAAAATAGTTTGTCTGAAAATCAGAAAACACAAAAACATCCACATCCTTTCATACAGCCGGACTCTTGCAGGGAAAACGTTCACATGATGCGTTCAGGGTCCTGGCTGTAGAGGTCCAGCTCCTGGTACAGAATGAAGCTCTTCAGTCTGGGAGGGAAAACAGGTGAGTTCATGATTTCAGGTTTATTGAGTCTCTTCAGCGTCAGACGTCTCCTGATCTCCAGTCTGCAGAGGTGCCTGAGGGAGCGAGGACTGCCTGGAGAGCAAGGTGCAGAAAATCATTGTACAGCAAATCACTAAAAGAAAGATAAGAGAGTTGCTTAGATTGGATGGATTTCTCCTCCTGAGATGAGAGTAATCCATCCAGGTACATGGCTGTTAAGTTGTGGCCCCGCCCCCTCTGGATGAAAGCAGTAACTTTCCTGCAGATCTCAATCCGCTCTGACTGCTTTACTGAAAGGATTTTTGAAAAACACTGAAAACATGTACCAAAGGATTCCAAGAGCACAGAGCAGGATTGAGTGGATTCAGAGTTAGAGATCTCCCTCCAGAGATGGTTGAGTTAAGGCGAGGCTGTAAAACTGCCTCCTGACTGGTTACTGTGAAACAGAGGAGGTGGATAAACTTACTGAGGATGTCACATATTTCCGTCCACTCAGGTTGTGTCTCCAGCAGGACTCTGAGTTTAGAGCATATGTGGACGTGGCTCATGTAGTCCAGTAGAGTCCGGACCACTATTCCAGAGAGGTGCTTGACGCAGCAGAGGCTCATGAACTCGCAAAACTGGAGAGAGAGAGATCATTAAAGAGTGATTAGTGATTTTATCTGTGAGTTAAGTACCAAAGACGTCTAACTTTTTGTTTATTTGAGTCACTCAAAGTCTACCACATAAATGTGAGCAGAGTAAGGTCTATTTTAAAAAGATCTGAACTAACCAGCAGTTTTAAGCCGAAATGAAAGACCTGCTACAGACCCCCCATCAGAACCTCCAAAGCTCTCGCTGCAGAGATTAGAGTCCACAGTTGTTGGATGACTGGATCCAAAAATCAGTCAAACTGTTTCTCAAAGTACAGCCCCCCAAAAACTGTGTCAAAAACAGACATGACTCTGAAGTGGAAATCACTGCAAAGACTCTAAATCACCTCCAGAAGCAGCTTTCCTTTTTGTTTAGCTTCGAATTTTGCGGATTTGTGTTTTCAGTCATTTCTCGTTTTACTTTGTAGGTCCAACCGTGTGTTTCATGTCCGATCTTGCTTCTCCCGTTCCTGATCCTCTTGTACTCTGTGTGAATACCTATAGTCTAGTTTTCGGTATTTCCTGTTTAACTTTGTAGTTCTTTCTCCTTTTGTGTTCAGTATCTTCCCGTCTTCCCTCCCCTGTGATTGTGAACACCTGTACCTTGTCTCACCTGTGTCTCATTGCTTATTACCCAGTGTATATCCTTATCTGTTTTCTCTCTACTGTGTCCGATCATTCGGATGGTTTCTTGTTTTACTTTTTGGTCTCACTTTGATAAGATTGTTTGCACGTAGGACCACATATGACCATTAATACTGAACAATATCTCCAGGCTTAGGAGCAACATCTGCTGCAATTCAGACAATGACTTTTTCAGGGAAGACCTTCATATGATCCCAAACCACATTCTGACAACAGGGATTCGTACAGCATGGCTCTGTAGGAGAAGAGTCCTGCCGAGAAACTGGACTGATGCAGTCCTGACTTGTCCCCCATTGGACTCCAAACTATTCAGCAGCTGAAATCCGAAATCAGGCAAGGATGGGACAAAAGTCCACCTTCAAAACTCCTGAAACCGGTCTTCTTGGATCCCAAACTTTCACAGAGTGTTGTTTAAAGAAGAGACTTGCACTCACTGGAATTTTTGGCTCGCCCTCATCTGCAGCATCAAATGGGTCGTCATGGTGACACTGAAAGCACCTCTCCACCTTGTAGCCGTTGTTGAGCAGCAGCCTCATCATCACCTCGTCCTTCAGGCAGTACTGCAGCGCCGTAGGAAACACCGTGTTGCTCACCACCGTGAAGTAACGGTTCACGTCTGCTTTGGCTGCCAGCAGCAGCTTCACTATCTCATATCTCCCTGACCTGACTGCCACCAGGAGGCAGCACAGAGGGTCCAGGTCTGTCTTTGCCCCAGCTGCCAGCAAGATCTTTGTACATTGGACATCCCCATTTGAGACAGCGAAGTATAAAGCGCTTCTCCTCATGTCCCTGTAGTTTTCAGAGTTTCTGGTGCTCATACGGTAGTTCACATCAAAGCCGCAGGCCAACAGGAGCTCCAAACAGTGGCTCTGACCCCCCTCTGCTGCAGAGTGGACCGGGCTCTGACCGGCGTCTTTGATGGCTTTTTTAGTCGTCAGAGAAATCAGCATCTTTAGAGCACTGTGGGGAAAAAACAAAATGAGGAGAACCTTGGTTTTGTTGTCGGGGGTATGTTTGATGGACAAGTAGATCAAGGTATCATCTACATAGCAAAGGAAATAAATGTGAACTTTATGGAGGAGATGGTCCAAAAGAAGAGGATAAATAATGAACAGAGGGAGCCCCAGGACAGGACCCTGAAGAACACCACAAGTGACTGGACATGGCTGGACATGCAGTCAAGTTCACTGCCATGGTGAGCTGAAGTTTTAGTCAACTGCTCAAAACTTGCTAAGGGAATCTCACTCATAGTGTCCGGCGTATGCGGCCTTGTGGATGGGCAGGTGTCCAGTCATGCTGGGCAGGTTTGGGTTTGCTCTGTTGTCCAACAGCAGCTGAATGCAGGCCGTGTTCCCTGATCCCGCTGCATCCATCAGGACACTTTCCCCATTACAGGCCTGAGAGTTCACTTTGCTACCTGATGGGAAAGAAGAGGAGGTTGGACTTACTCCCACCTTGAACAGGAACATCTCTGTGTTGGGGCTAACCTTATGAGAGATGAACTGCATGCAACATATTTCTTTCACTAAAACTGCAGTTAAACTCAGACTAACCACAGTTCAGCAGAATCTCAGCGATGTGGAAATGTCCATGCTCTGCAGCCACAGCAAGTGGCGTCACCCCTGTCACATCTTTGTGGTTAACCCTCCCTCCGTTCCTCAACAGCAGCATTAGGATTTCTACATGGCCGATCCTGGCTGCCTCGTGCGTTGCTGTCCACTTCTTCCGGCACACCTGCTCCACCCAGGCGCCATGAGCGGCCAGCATGTTTGTCATCTCATAAGAGCCAGCCCTCACCGCTGTAAGAAAGATGCCAGTTTTATTCAACGGTTGGTTGTCCCTATTATTGAACCCATTATGTAAGAGCTGTAAATTTAGGACTCTCTGGCACTATCCCAATGCCCTGTAGAGTTACCAAGTAGCAACGGCGTCTCATTCTTGCTGTTGGTGTTATGAGGCGACGCTCCATGCACCAGCAGACTCTTCACATTCTGCACCAACCCGGCTTTAACCGCCAGAGTCAGCGGCGTCTCTCCTCCCACAGCCGTCCTCTCCTCCAGGCTGAGCCCCTGAGCCGTCACTGAAACAAACACACCACACACACGGGTTTACATACCTGCAGTTCATATCAGAGCTCCAGCTGTGCTAACCTGGCAGTGAACCCAGTCTGCTGACCTCCAGGCTGAATAAGTGCAGACTGACATCAGAGGTTATTTCAGACAGACAGGTCTGTTGTCCTCAGCTGGGAGGCAGCAGTTTTTCTCAGTTCATTGTTCTGTACTGGATTAATCTGGATAAGAATATTCCAGTTTGGAAAATCCACTTTTTGCTGTCCAGGATCAGATAATCCAGTTTACTTTATCTGGTTTTACAAAGAGAATAGCTGAATAAAACAGAAGTTACAGATACTTTGCATGCCCTTGTTGCAAACTCACATCGAAGGACAGTCTCCAGAACTTCCAGGACTGGCTGGGCTGCAGCACGATGGAGGGGAAGCCACCCCCGGCTGTCCGGTTCACTGAAGGCTAAGGTGTGTCTCAGCATCCCCCTGAGCACCAAGACTTCACCTGGACACAACAGCAACACCGAAGTAGACCAGGAAGATAAAGAAAGAAGAAATAAATGTCTTTTTTGATGTATAAGAAACAGCCAGGACTCCCTTTTTCTCTCTTTTACTTTATCTCTCACCCAGCTCTCTGTTTATTTACCTCTCTTTCTCTCCCCCTCTCTCTCTTTGTATCTGGCAGTCTTTACCTGCAGCTGCTGGCCGTGTGATTGTCCACCACAGCCAACACACCAAACAAAAAGACACAGTAATGTTGGAGGATATCCAGCCTACCTTGCTCGATAGCAGCCAGGACTCTCAGGTTTTCCTCCGTCGCTGCTGCTAAGCTAACAACCAGGAACAGAGGAAAGTCAGATCTTATTATCTGAAGGGTTATTTCTAGTAGGTGAAGTTGTCTGATGGGGCTCTGTACCTTGCTGAAGACTTGAGGAAGGCCTCCTGGCAGGAGTCTTGAATGCTGAGCTGGATGATGTAGTTGTCAAGCTCATCATCGCCATATTCTTCATACGTGTTCATCACTCTGCAGGAACATGAGGATTTAGTTAGAGAACATGCGAAGAACCATTCAGCTTTCCTGGTAACAGCTTTTAGCACCCGGTGAGGCGGGAACTCTGAATAGTGCGGGATGCAGATTGTAGTTGCATGCAACTCTCTGGTTTCCCCTGATCCACAAAGGTCCTTAAGTCCTCCTGATACCAAGTCTCTCTCCTGACAGCAGGAGCTCTCCTGGTTTGCTGACTGAGTTTGCACACCTGGACCACAAGGCAGCCTAGAACCCTGCCTGCTTTCTAGATACAGCAGAAGTTTCTCCTCTCTCTCCTTCAGACTGAAGAGCTCCGCCCAAGCTGCTAATCAGTGCACTGCCAATAGATGAAAATGTACGTTTTGCTAGATCCAAATGGCTTTCAGGTGACAAACCTGAGTGAAAAAATCCCAAATCCACATCCAGCTGGCTTTAAACTACCAAACACCACTCACTGAGAGTCCTTTTCGTGTAATTTGTAAAGTACAGCAGCCTTTTCAGCATTTTACCAATCTTGTTGCCTGACATCCACCAGGTGGCAGCAGTTACGAGCATTCAAGGCATCCCAGTGGTAAATAGACTCGTAGTCATGTGGCTCTTTCTAAGTCTTTATGACAATGCAGAGCGGTCTTACACCATTCATCTCATTCATCCATTCGCACCTCATGGCAAAGGAATCTGTAGGGACCATCAGTGTTAGCTAATCCCATTGATATAAAACACTGTCGCTGTCAAGTCCAGTACAGAGGGGGTGATATGCTCCAATCGTTTGCTTGCATTTTGTCAATGAACTTAGAGAAGAAGAAACCTTGAATTGCATCCACACACTGCTCTGGTTCTTGCTCAAGGAAGTCTACTGCATGAGTTGGAAATGAACTGCCAGCCTTTAGATAGAGACAATTAGCTGTAACACTGAGTCACAGCTGCTCAATAATCCAACCTCTTACTGATGATCTCTTCTGCTTTAGTGGGTCATATTAAGTCATCAGTATTTACTTCATTCTGTCTCGTAACCTGCTAAAATCTCCTCACAGGACCTCTGAAGTTCTCTGTCTTTGAACCCAAGTAGATAGTAGCATCACAATTAAGATGCAGCACCTTTAGATGAAAGATGCACCCTGCTGATTAAAGTAGCATGAGTGCAAGCTGATCATCAGGCTCAAATCAAACCCTAAAATCCTTCCCAAGTTGCATGTTTCTGTCCAGGAAACTCTGTGAAGGCATACTTATGTTTAAAAGTTATAAACACTTAACCTCTCTCTGATTTTTAAGGATTCCAGTCCATGCGGCTTAATATTAAAAGAATAACAAGACAACTTTATCCTCCTTCTCTGCAGACCGAAATGCAAGATTATTTGCTAACATCTGCACATTAAACGGACATCTCTAGCAAGACAAATGCTCCCTCTAACTCTGATGTCTAGAAATGGATCAAATATCTGCACATCTGTTTAGATTAAGACAAAAATGTCTCACCTGTGAGGTGTGTAAGAGGCTCACCCTGACCGGTCCCTCTCCTCTAACAGCACAGAGTGATTTTATCTTTAGGTGTGACCTGATTTCAGATTCCTGCCTCAGACACACACTCACACAGAGCAGAGTGTGTGTGTGTGTGTCCAACACCTGGTCTGCTGGTCTTAAATATAGAGGGTTACATGTGCCATTGTGTGAGCTAAGCCAGGTCTTTGCCGTGTTTGGCGAGAGTCCCACATTTGAGATCCCACAATCCCCTGGGGCTTACAGTCCGTGGACTCATGCAGACCACCAGTTGACCGTCTATTGTTTCGTGGAAAGCAAAATCAATAGAGTCTATTTTTTCCCTCTGCTTTACTTCAGAAATATGAGATGATGGACGTCTCATAAAATGATGGCTGAGGGAGGAGCGGCTCCTCAAATCCAGTTTTATGATGGAACGGTTCTGTGAAGGTTTCCTGGTTTGATTTCAGGTTTCTGGTTTTGTTTTCAGCTGCTTGTCCTATCTTTAGCTGAAATTATATTAATAAGCTTGACGTCATTTGTTTTCTTGTTATTATTCTCTCTCTCTTTTGATTTAAATTGTCAAACTATTGCACCAAAATCAGCACACAGGCTGCAAATTCTGTTCACAATCCACTACAATCTCCTCAAAGCTGGCGCTGCAACAACCAAGTCTTGGTTTTCTCATGTATCTCAAAAACTTTTTGGCAGTTCGTCCAAAGTCTGTCATCATTTCAGTGTCTGAAGTGATCTGCATGGGGTCTAGATTTGTCAAGTTTGCTCTTTATTACCTTTTCTCCAAAGTTCTCCTTGTGTCAGCTTCTGAACTAGTCTCTCCTGACAAAGTTTGATTAAACACTTTGCATTTATATTTATAGTTTAATAAAAACGTACTCAGTATAAGGGAACACACAGATCATTTTTTACTCCCTCCCAGTTTCACAGGACAGGACAGGGCAGTGCTGTTGTGATGTCTTGTTAAACCCACATTGTCTCATATTTACATCATGTTTATTCCATCTGTTATTGTGTTTGATTGCATCGTATCATTTAGTGACAAACCGGCTGCCAAATTGCACCTCATTCCTCTCTATATCCCTGATCAGAAGGTCCTGATCTCTTCGCCAGTTTGGTCCCGGTGAGGGTTTAAGTGTCTCAGTGTGAATCTGTGCCGTCCTGGTGGCGTTAACAGGACTTACATACCTCTGCAGGATAAATGAGTACCTGTGTGTGACAGGTTTACACTGGGACCCCCCGGACCTCCTCTCCCTCTCTGCTGTGGTCTGTGTGATCTCAGGGGATCCAGCATATGTCCAGTAGTAGATTAGAGGAGCTTCACAGGGGCCGCCGTGTCGCCTTCTCTGGCTTCCAGACATGGAAATAGCAGCATACAGCTGATTGTAAAGCTCCCATACTGACACTGTGCAGTATAGGAGGCTGGAAAGCTACCAAAACGAGACCGATATCATCCCATCACCAGCTTTTCATCTGTAAAACATTAACAGTGCATGGGATGGGAGTCCTGGGAGGTATGGGATACTGAGCTGCATTCCCAGCATCATTAAATACAGCAGAGCGAACCGTGTTTCCACTACCTTTAACTCTGCTTATGTAAGGATGATATCCTCCCTGTCATACGTGGATATGCTTCAGAGCGTGGGACTGAACAGCAAAATTAAAGCACAAGGAAAAAGTCAACTTCAAGCTTCAGAGCTCACAACCCTACAACATAAGAAGTTTATTAATCCCCGAAGGGAAATTCAATTGTCTGTTGTCTCACTTGACATGTCTCTAAAAGTTATGTAGTATTTACACAAGAGACATGTCGAAAGACAGACTATTTACACGTGGCGTTAAAGTAGTGTTAAAAACTTCTTTTTTGATTTCAGCTCTTCAAGTTTTATAATTTTATCAACTTTGAATGTTTTTAAATGTGTGGGCAATCATTTGTGCAATCATTTCTTTGTCAATGAAGGAATAAAACTGCACAACTCAGCTTCGCAAACTTAGCAGCTACATACTGGTCTGACCTGTCCTTTTCACTGACCAAGAGTCACAAAGGCAGGCAGTTTGACCTGTTTCATGAGGCAGTATGACAAAAGATGAGTCTAGACACATTTGCAAAAACTTTATGAACTTTCTTCAAAAACTTTCTGTGTGGAGTTTGCATGTTCCTCCTGTGTTTGTGTGGGTTTACTCCGGGTACTCCCACATCCCAAAAACATGCAGAAGTGGGGTTAGGTTAATTGGCCACTTTCAAATTAGCCGTAGGTGTGAGCGATGAACTGGTGACTTGTCCAGGGTGTCCCCTGCCTTCGCCCGGAGATGTTGGGATAGGCTCCAGCCCCTCCGCGACCCCTAACAAGAATAAGCGGTAGAAAATGGATGGATTCATGGCATGCAAAGAGACATTACTTTAACTTTTAAATTTACAAATAAAATCAAATAACTACATCAAAATAGTAAAAATTGTTTCTGAAAATGAAATGACATAAAATTGCTAACATGAAAGATAACATAAAATGGTATGTCTTGTTATTTTCAAATATCATAGCTGAAATTTTTAAGTGATAATTTTCATTTTTTCTGTCATTAGTTTCTAAATATTCCAAACTAAATATAAATAGATAATATATATAGATACTGTGTAATAATAATAATAATGATGATAATAATAATAATAATAATAATAATTAAAATACAGAAGTAAAATTAAAATGAAAGTGAAAGCGCAATATAAAATGTTACGTTTCTTACGTATCGTCTTCATGACACGGTGGTTGGAACGTAAACCCTAAACGTTGAATGACGTTTCTGGTTGCTATAGCAACTTGTAAACTCTGGAGTTGCAAACGTTCAAGGGACCGTCAAGGGAAACGTTAGCTTACTTAGCTAACTGAAAGACTACTTATTTTAAAGTAATGAATGAGATAGACGATCAAAAAAGAAGTTTTAACGAGCTCCAGGGGGATTATCTTCACTTTGTTTCACTACAGGTTTTATTCACTCGAGTTTTTTGTGGACTGACAACATCTCTTTTTTAGCTAATTTGAGTCGATGTAAGTAAATCTACTTATCAAAACTAGCATTAGCAGGTCAGTTCGAGTCGACAATGGAGGAGCCAAGAGAAGAAGAGGAGCCGGAGGTGAAACAAGAAGAGGTGGACAACATGGTTACAGACACACAGACAGGTGGAGGTTCACCTGAGCCGACGGTAGAGGACGACAGAGAGCCGAGGAGGGACGGGGAGAGCACAGGTGAGTCTGGACTGTCATTGAGGGGATAGATCCTCCTATCATCAGGCCTCTAACCACTTATAAACATCTTAACTGAAGCCTACAAAATTCATTTACTTTTAGATGCAACTATTAACACAATCCATCCAAAATAAAGAGAATTAAACCAAGAAAACACACTAAAAATCAGCAAAAAGACACTGCAGTTATAACAAAACATATTCACTAAATTTGTTAATTTTAAGAAAGTATTTGTAGTCAGTTTAGTCTGTTCATAATGTTGATGGTTATATCTTTTTTGGCTGTACAGATGTGTTTGAAGAAGCAGAAACTCAGGCTGATCTCACTGATGAAGCAGAGCCGCTCAGAGAGACTCAGACTGAAGAAGATGTGGGAAACTCTACAGCAACAGGTGAGACTGATTAGCCAAAAGTATTAACTACTGTACTCCAGAGTCAGCCCAAGCCTCAATGGAGCCCTAAGCAATATTTGATTTAGGGGCTTTCTATTTCTGCCAATAATATTGATTGTTGATCATTCACACACCGTCACAAATCTCTTTAATCAACATTCCATGACATGCAAACAGCCTTCTTTCTCTTCTGCCTCTTTCTTTTCTCTGCTTCTGAAGGATATGTCCTTGTTTGTGACATTGTTTTGCCCCACAACTACCTGAGCTCTGGATGATCAGTTCACATGGCGCAGCAGAAGGCACATAACGGTAGCAGAGCTTTGACATATCATAGGCCTACATCAGCAGCAGCACTAAAATGATTTGAACGTACAGAAAGCATCACTCATACATGCAAAAAATAGAAAATGTTAAATTATTATTTTTTGATTGCTCTTGGGAGTCCCCTATTGGCCGCGGGGCCTTAAGCAGGCACTTAGGGGCCGGCTCTGCTGTACTCTGTTCAGTGTATTCTCAGTCTGCTACCAGCCGTCAGCAAGTGTTTGTCACGGTTTTGAGTAAAGCAAAAAGGAAAGAACCCAAATGCAGGACAACTAAAGGTTTATTCAAAGTAAACTAAATAAAACAAAAACTTACTTCAGAAATGTAAAAATCCAAAATGGCAAAAAAAAACCAACAGAAGACACTGGAGACTCTGGAGACAACGACATACAGAGACATACAATGAACCGACAAAGGCTACGTTCACACTGCAGGCTCTGATGCACAATTCGGATTTTTTTTGTTAAATCCGATCGTTTTGTGCGGTCGTTCACATTACAACAACAAATGCAGCATCTCATGTGAAATGAATGCGTCCGTGAAGTGACCCGCATGCGCACAAAGTATAAATTGCTTTCCGTGCCTGTTTGTGTTGTCGAACAATGGTGACGTTTGTCGCAGATTGATGACGTATAGGTCGGATGAACGCGACCTGAGCATACACACTGCAGTCACATCGGATACATATCCGATTTATAGTCACATACAAAAGAGGCCTGGGTCGGATTAGAACAAATCAGAATTGCACTGTTCACACTTACATGAAAAAATCAGATATGTGTCAGATATGGTTAAAAAATCGGAATTGACCTGCAGTGTGAACACAGCCTAAGAAACAGGGGAAAAGGACTATATATACACACAGGGAAACGAGCAACGAGAGGCAGGTGAGACACTGAGACGCAGGTTCAGACAACTACAGAGGAGGGAAAACTGAGGAAGTAAAACAGGACTAGAAACACAGGGAATAAACTACTTCAAAATAAAACAGGAAACACTGAAAACTGATAATGAATAAAACACTGTGAACATGAGAGAACTGGGGACTACAGGGGAACAGGAACAGCAGGTAAAAATCACAAAGGAAATACACTCTAGGGAAAAACGAAACCAGAGGAAAACTAACTCAAACAGCACTCATCATGAGAGTGTTAGAAACAGAACAATTAAAAAATAGTCTGATTGTTTTGGTTCTAATGGTTTACAATACACAGGAATGAAATATGCATGCCATCAAACTCGGGTATCATATGTTTAATGCAGCATGTTTCCATCGCTGCACGATAAGGGTCATTAGGTTTTTCTTCCATATCAACAGCTATTAGTTTCCACATTGTAGTTTATCATATCTATAAAAACCTTCTTTATGTAAAACAAATTATTTCCCCCTTAAAATCATCTATTGTCAAATTTCCAGTCCGTTCGTCACACATCATCCAGGTTAATTTCACTTCCACACAAAATACTGCAGAGCATATTCATGCATTGTGAGCCTTGAATAAATGAGAAGATGTGATAAAGGATGAAGAGCAGGCAGTCAAGTACCTGAGACGTGTTGTGCTGTTTCTAGGTAACCTGACTCGGGTATTATAGAACATGAAGATTAATATCTTGTTAAAGTTGAATTAGCAGGAACAAAGATGGCAGTCACAAAAAACAGCGTTAAATAAATCCAACATTTCTGCGGTAACGAACAGACGCTGAGTAATGAGAAAACTTCACTTTTCTGAGAATTTTACTCATTAAAAACTAAATAAGTGGAAAATCATCATAGAAAACTGCTAAAAATGTTCTAATATGGTCTCTAAGATGTCTCTGTGGTTTCAGTGAAGGTAGTGCTGGTGCCAGAGGGTCATGTGATGACCGTGGCGTTCGCCATCGGCCTCAGCATCAAGGAGCTGAAGTGTCACCTCGCCTCAGAGCTCAGAGTCCCTGCAGAGGTGCTGCAGATCTCTCTGGACGGTAAGTCTGCCTGCAGGTGAAATTGTGATCATTGGTGTGGGGTTTGATTATACAAAATCAGGTGCACTTAGAAAACAGATGGGATTGAAGTCGACCCCCAGGAAGTTTGTAGGTTTCTTTTTAAACATGAACTCCAATTTCGAGGACATTCAGTACCTGATATTTTGGCAGTTTGGTGTCCGGGTGGGTGGGATCTTTAAAGATACGAAGCTTTGCTGATGCAGCGAGAACTTTAATGATCTTCCAGGGAGAGTAGAGCGATGGTCATGACAGTTTGGGGTAAATCTAGTAGATTTCTTGACAGTGAGATTCTGATTCAGTCTGAGCTGTTCATTTTTTGCTTGTCAGGAAGAGTGGTGGAGGAGCATCAGAGTCTGATGGAGCTCGGTGTTCAGCCTCATAGCTCCACCCGGATGGAAATGAGCTCCACTGACCCAGACACTCACCCACTCCGCCCTGTTCGACCTCCAGAGCACGACAACATGCCGGACGTCATCACGGTCCGAGTGCCGACAGGTCTGAACACCCACTACCATCTCTACTTTGATTTTTATATGAGTGTCAATAAGGTCTGCCCCAAGTGGACACTAGAGGGACTGCACTTTCATCATCAGCTCTTTGTGACTTCCAGGTGAGGGTGTGTTCGAGGAGGTGGTTGTGGAGATCGAGCGTCCCCGCCAGCAGAAGGCTTTCCTGGGCGGCTACAAACATCGGCTGACAGGAGTAGAGTACCACCACGCTGCAGCCCAGACCCTCCCCAAGAGGAGGCCCGACAGAGGAGTGCTGGTCTTCAGCCGTGACACGCAGGTACAGACACGGAGCGTCAAAGTTCAACAACACAAGAATGAAGGCATCAAACTCTGGAATACAAAATAAGACAACTCTAAAAATGATCCAGGACTCGGATAAAAAGTTCAGTTTAATGCTCGGTCGCACTCAGACACACCGCCTGGTCATGTCTGCACGTTGCAGTTAAAGGTCATTCATTACTGCAGAACACTGTTTTCAGTCAGCCGTGAGACAGAACACGACTCCATGTGCAAATTAAACAGTGTAATTACAGCCAGAAAAAATGCAAATGAGCTTGTTGAACCAGAAGACGGAAGACAAATGGTCACAGTAACACCTCACTGCTGAGCATCAGGGTTAATTAGTTTATTTCTGACTGTGGGCTCCAATTATTATTTTCAGATCAGGAAGAATATTTATGACAGTTAGAAAACAACTCAGAGTTTTAGTTTAGAAATCACCTGAAAATGGCACTTTACCTTTTTAGATACATGTAGTGTACACATCATACACATGTACAGTACATACGGCTGAGTACTGGCCAATCACTGTTAGAGCTGTTTTCTGCTTTCAAGTGATGAATAAATAAATAATCTGAAATATATAAATGCACTTTGTTTAATCGTCAGAGTTTGGGGTCTTCATTGTTGGTAATTTTTACAGAGTAAATGTCTGATAGTTCATTTATGTGACCATAATTCTGAAATACCGTAAAACTTCTAATAGAGGCCATCAAAATCAAAGGCAGGGCCACTAGGTGCTTTGCTTCACCAAGCATGCGTACACCAGCCACACAAACTGGACTTAATTGGTCATTAGAGGTCAAATGTTTATGTAGGAGCCATAGGCCGTGTCCGAATTGAATCACTAACCCCTAACCCCCATATGGGATTTTACTATATAGTTGACTATGTAGTGAACTCAATTACCGGAGGTTTCGGACACTACATGGCGGGATGCCCACCACCGGTGAGTGACCATCAGATGGTCACTACATTTTGCAATGCTTTATGGGAAATTTTGAGTCACCTATATTGGGCACTGGAATTGATCACTGAGGTTTCGGACACCCCTCAAAATGGCGCTAAACCCCATACAGTCGCCTATGTTGGGGTTAGGGATCCATTTCGGATACAGCCATAATGTTGCTGTGCTTATCGGTTATCCTGTGTTCAATTATTTTTGTCTTGTTGCTATTGGTTTCGCTGGGCTTGGGTCACGTGGGCACTGAGTTTGAAAGCTGGTAAGTTATATAAGGGGCGGTCTTAACTGCGCTGTGGTGGCGAGGTGAGCCTAGGTAGCCGTAATTTTTGTTGACTGCGCTTTATGTTCTTACACATCATGAAGAATACACATATGACATCGGATGTGCGCGTGTAAATCATTGGTCATTTTCCAAGCGTTTTTCTGTTATTAAAGCTCCGAAAACTTCGATGAACTGTGGGTGCTTCTATGGAACAGCAGCAGCATGTCACACAAATATACAGGACCAAGTCTCCGCCTCAAGCGACCTTTTAAAGGTACTAGCTGCAACAGTGTATGGACTTCCTAGTATGAGTGTGCAGATCTCGACAAAGTGATTTGATAGAGGAAGTGTCAACAACCATGAAGTTGGACTCTGCGGTGGGATCCATTTACGTTACGCTCATTATACGTTCCCCCTACATAAACTCGTCCAGATGTGTCTGCCACAGTTTTCCTGTTTGTTACTTCCCTGCTTACGAGTCTCAGTTTCGCTGTAAATCCTTAATCACACCGGGCTTCACTCTGCTTCACCACAGCAGGACGGACGTGGAGAAGAACTGACATAGAACCACACTACAGATCTGTGTCCATGTGTATGACTCACAGTTATGATGCTCTACGTCTGTTTTTTGTATGACTCACACACACACACACACACACACACACACACACACACACACACACACACACACACACACACACACACACACACACACACACAGATGCTGTAATGATGGTTTGCTCATTACAGATTTATTGTGCATACATGAAGACACACGCACACAGTGCTGCAGTAATGAGACCTTTGTGTGTGTGTGTGTGTGTGTGTGTGTGTGTTGTCAGTCCTATGATGAGCTGACCTGTGGCCCTGAACTAAAGTTTGTTTACACATCACAGCACAGCCGCCTGCTGGCCTCATGCTCCCGTCGTCTCCCAGCTCTCATGTCTTTTTATAGCGTGTCATTTATCCTCCGTTGTTCTCATGGTGATCTGCTCTAAAGGTTTTAATCCATCAGGATTCAGATCACACCTTTAGGGGTCTTCTTTAAACTTTTTTCTAATCCATAAACCCGAGAAAATAGATTTTAATGTTGGTGGTGACGTGTACGGTCTCTTTAATGATGTGTCACAGCATGTTGACCTCTGACCTGTGGAGGTGGCTCAGACCTGGAAAGGTTTCCCCTTAAATGTGAACCTTTCTCCCCCTCAGCCTACAAAACACTTCCCTTCAACACCTCTGGTCCTGTCAGCTTATCACTGAGTTTGTTGGCATGTTTCCATCTTTGTATTTGGTCGACTGCAGGCAAACAGAAAAAAACTTTATCAAGTAATAATTCACTCCTCAGGGACCAAAACAGGTGGAAACAGATTCTGATGGTTTGTTGATCATTTTAACTCGATAATGAATTTTAAAAAGTGCGAAAAAAAATTAAAAATAAACTTTAAAATCCCACTCTGATCGTTTTTTTTAGTAGTTAAAGTGTTCTCAGTGGTCTTTAAATCGTGATTATGAAGTTTTTAGCCAAAATCACGTTACCTCTGTCATTTTCAAGAGCTTTTCTTCTGCAGAGCTCCAGTAGCTCATTAGTAATTCACCTCTGAGTCGTGGGTGGAGACAGCACAACTCTACACGCTCCTCTTCATGCTAGCTTGTAGCCTAACATTGCCGGTGTAGTAGAAGAAGCAGGTAACATAGAAGCTATTCAGCTCTCAAACACTAAAGTCTTTAGGGACATGATGAAAGTTAATATCATAATTAACTTTCTTACGAGCATTGCAATCTGCTAACGCACAAGCCTATTCCACGATCATCCTCTCTATTTCTCAGAGTGTGGCCTGTATAGTGGGGCTCCGGGAGGCAGATTTGCAAAAGCTTGGATTTGCTATGTAGGAAATCTCACTGTGTCTGAGGCTGCTGTTTGGATCTGCCAGAGATTCACAGAGATTTCAGAAATGCAATTTCGCACTTACTTTTCTCATGATATGTCCTGTAGCATCAAAGAAATGAACAAATGAACATGACAGACAACAAGAAAAACATGATTTTCTTGTCTGGTCTTTTAAAAGTATATATGTTCACTCAGAATTCCAGCTGGCATCCTGAAAAAGTTGTTCTGATTGCTTCTAAAGATATAGTTAGATATTATTCAGCATTAATGGAACCTTCACAGGCGTGGAGGCTACCTGGGACATCGACTCTGATGGGTGGACCCCTTACTCTTTCGAGAGGAGGACATGGTGTCCATGATTTCCAAAAAAGAGTGTCCCGTTTTGATCCCCAGACCATCAGGGAGCTTCACTTTTAAAATGTGACAAAAATAATGACAGATTTGTCATAAACGGCTTTGGATGTAGTGATGAACGACATTATCTGTGGTTGAAATGGATACACATGTTATTTATTTCTATCCGGTTAAAATAATCGAACATAAATGAGTTTTTGAGTACGTTGAGATCGCAGCCACAGAGCATTGTTCTGTTACGATCCTGCTTTAGATGAGCGAGGGCGATGATGACATTTACTCGTTCAGTTGACAAAGAGCACAAAGGCCTGATTGGAAATCGACTACCATCTGTCTTTAGCCTCGTTAGCAAACCTCATCCCTGTCTGAGGAATGTCTGATGGATTTTCTCTGACTTCAGGGCTTGTTAAATAATAGAGACGCTAACTCCCATGATCCCACACTACCTCTGGATCATGTAAAACTCTGTCTTTTGTTGTTGCTCTGTTAGAAAAGTCCCAGGGCCAGAGGTTTGAACCGTGCAGGTAGAGACAGATTGATGACAGGAAGCTCTGCTGCCACCGCGGCTCTCTGACACCCACTGGATTTTCCTCTTCGCTAATATTCTCACGGGGATTTCTAGTTGACTTTTCTCTTGAAGTTTTTATAGAATCAGCCGACGACCTTTGACCTTTATGTGATGAAACAGATTTCCTCAGTTCAGTGAATCGTTGTGATTTCAGCAGAGGTTGGCGTCCATCATCCGGGAGTCGGTCAGGCTGCACTCGCTCTCCGTGGGGAAATTAATACACCTGCACACAGAGACACCGTTTGGATGTCAGTCATCTCTGTCGTCTTTCTATGAGAGCTCGTGATAGTCTCGCTCAAATGACAAGTGCAGAAGCTTCATGCATGTGAAAGCATCCTGCTTCCTGTCAGAGATGGTTCCAGACTTTCTGAGGGATCATTAATAATCCAAAGTTTTCATGACTGCCTTCCTTCTTTTGTACGACACTGGAGTTTCATCAATCTGTGTCACATGGAAACGTAAAAACATGTTCCTCACGTCTCATCTTGTCGGCTCTGAGTCTCAATAATCATCCCGAAGTCCTCAGCTGTGGTCATGTCCGGTCACGGTCACGTGCTCGAGTTTCTGACTAAAACTCAGACAGTGACAGGAACACATTACAAGTGCTGTAATCCTCTTGGGGACACGGTGCTTACTACCACAGGGTGGAAACCAGCAAGACGGTGCTTCAAACATTTGACACCAAAACAACTTTGAAGGGAATTCATTCAAGGGACGTTAAATGTTCTTCCTTGAGCTGCGTCACCCCGCTGTAGTCCCTAATGGACTGGCCTGAGGTCTCGCTACAAACAAGCGGCTGCTGGAAGAGAGTAGGTGAGTTGTGTTTAGTTTCTTTGCTAAAGGAATCAGGCAAAGTCCGTAAACTGGTGCAAGGCGGAACCAAGTTGTCCATAGTAAGTTCAGTCTATGGTAAGACACACCTCAAGCTTCAGCACACTGTCTGCTGCCACAGTGCGTCTTTCCTACAGTTCGGCGAAGGATTCTACAAAAGAAGTAAAGGTTTTGAAAGTTTTGTGTTTTTTAGTTCCTTAAGTCCAGCCTGTCCGATTCAGGCTGGACTAATCGGACAAATATCTCTGTTTTATTGTTCAGACATTAAAAGTCTAATTTCACTTCAAAACGAACTTTTCTGTCTGTGTTTCTGTCAGACCGTGGAGCTCAAGTCTCAGGTCCAGCAGTGCGCAGTAGACGTCTCCACTCAGATGACCGGGATCGGCTGCTACGTCTCTTGTATGAATGACAAACTGGTCACCCCGGGCAAATACACCACCGCTGCAGAGTATCACGACAGGAGGCTGAGAGCTGTGAGTCAACGCTGGTGAATGTATGATTTACGTTGAACTGATGTAAGATATTTGAGTGGCTTTTAAAGCGACAGTAGCTGCATGATAGTGCTGCTGGCAGACACATCCAAGAGCCAAGATTAATGAATGAACCACTGAGCGTGTGTTCAAATTAAATCTTCTCCCCGACCTTCTTCTCTCCTCTGTCTTTTCACTTAGGTGATCTGTCTGCAGTCGTTCACCCGTCGATGGCTCGCCCAGCAGGTAGTGAACCAGCTCCGGAGGGACCGAGACCGGCGGCTGGCCTGGCTGGAGCTGCAGGAGAGGAAGCAGAAAGAGGAGAAGGAGGAGCAGCTGAAAGACCGCCGCCAGCGCTGGCTGAACCCCCGGAGGAGGGAGGACTTCAACCTGCTGTTTCAGGCTCTAGAGAGTAGGCTGTCTAAGAGGAGGTCTCACTCTGCTCTACATCTGCATGATGGTGGTGGTTCAACGTTTCCTGTGTGTTTCAGAGTGGAGGTGTGAGGAGGAGCAGCAGATCAACTCCACTCTGAGAGGAGCAGAGAGGAAGGCAGCTCTCTGCGCTCTTCTGCAGCAGGAGACGCAGCTTATCGCTGCCATCGGACAACACCGCATCGCCGCCCAGAGCAGCAACTACGACACGACTGTCAAAAGCTTTCTAGACAAGGTCAGAGGTCGCTTACTTCTCTGGCCTCCAGGTCTCCTTATCTAAAGTAGTTTAGAAATGAGACTTTTTATCAGAGGTGAATTGAGCCGTCTTAACGGGACTCACTGGTTTGTAGACTTGGTGTTTTGAAGCACCAGTTCTGAGATCTTGGCGGTAATTATCCGTGTTTTTTTTTTTTACCAGAATGTCAAATTAAATTAAAAATGTGTGTTTCAGTCGTCAGCTCCTCATCAGTGGAGAGCAGCAGACGGTCGACTGATCGAGATGGACACTCCGCACACCATCAGAGCCAGAGAGCTGAAAGAGCTTTACAACAACATCCACCTGAACACCGTCAGCCGGGAGCAGAGACTCCACGTCCTCATGACACTGAAACACACAGTCCAGGTACAGTTCACACACACACACACACACACACACACACACACACACACACACACTCACACACACACACACTCTGGAGGTTTCTGCCTGTTAAATACAGTTTCTCCTCTTCACTGTAACTTGCTGAACCCTGCAGTGTTTCATTCAGGGTGGGTCTGATCTTACTCATTGGGACTTAAAGCTATAGTGCGTAACTTCAATCGCCCCCTAGAGGATTTCTGCGTTATTACAACAATAGAGCTGGCACTTTAATATGACATATGGCCCAGTGTAGCCTGTACACATAGTAACACTCGCGACTCACCACATACTGCTCATCATGGTACACAGACTGTAACTGTCTACACAACATGTCGGCTGCTAAAGTTACTCGTCACAGCACACAGACTCCCCACAGTGAGTTACACACTTCAACACAGGCTACACACCTTGTAACTTAGGACTCGATAGGCTAACGCTTCACAAAGTGGCGAACACCAGGTTGCTGACAATACTTTACATTCACCGCACTGTTCCCAAGAAATTAATAAAGTACTTTGTCCAGTTCATGTAACAGCAACACATCCTGCTCGTTATGAACGGATTCACCTACTCATCCAGCGCTATCAAGGCAACCTCGGTGTCGAACCTCAGTCCAGTCTCCTTCTCCAGGGCTCTCCATCGAGGAAAAGCGACGCCGATTTAAATCTGCGTCAGTCTTCTCCGTTTGTCACTTTCTTTCTTCGCCAGCAGACCTTCTGCTGAACAAGAAGGCTCTTATCTTCTCAGTAGGATCCACCTCTGAGCCTCTTGGTCACTTCTTTGGTTCTCAGCCATGTTGCTGCCTTCTCGTTGTCAGGTAAAACCGAGTAGAATGCACCATTTCCAGTGAGTCAGCGTGGGACTGTCGCCAAAGACACCGAATACAAAAAGAACAAATACTGAAAAAAACCGCGAGTTGTTAAGGTCCTTAAACACCGGGCGAGAATTCGCCAGGCGAATTGTTCGCCTTTTTTTAAAACAGCATAAAGTCAATGCAAGCTTCCACACCGGCGGCGATTTTTCCGCGGGGCGAAAAGCCGCTTTTATTTTTTAGCTCCTGTGTCGAATTTTTCTGATATTCGCAGGCGAATATCTGGACCTGCTAGACCTCTGGCCAATCAAAAGTCATGTTGTTGATGACGTCACAGACCCATACGGCTGGAGGAGAGGGAGAAGTTTGAGATTATGAATACGCACAGAAAGGCAGCTGAGGTGCATCCAAAACTCTTTCTAATTACTAATGAAGTAGTTTCCTCACAAGATGACGCTCTCTTGTCTTCCACCCCGCATCTCCTCTCCTCCGTGCCGCAAAGCGACTTTATTAATTCGCTTTGCAAAAAATATACGCATATTCGCTTCGCGGCCGGTGTGTATAGGCGAAAGCAATTTTTCGGACCGGTGAATATTCGCAATTTTCGTCTCGCTTTTTCACTTCGCTCCGCAAATTCGCCGGTGTGTAAGGACCTTTAGAGTAGAGGAGTCGAACGGCTTAATCAGCGTTGTATCATCTCCTCTTGTAGTGGCTTAGGTGAAACGGATATTTACAGACACATAGAAGTTACACACTGTAGCTTTAATCTTACCCCAGCTTAATGTCAATATCATAGTTTCCTTTTATTTGCACATGTTTAGGAGAAACACACAACCCCTCTGTGAATCAGGCCCTGAGTGTGTTAGTGCGATGAAAGTTGACTTCACTTCTCTGACTGTCTTTCACAGCTTTGGTGCGAGACACCAGAAAATCTGACAAAGTTTAATGAAAGTGAAAGAAAAGAGAGTGTGAGTGAGACTTATCAGTTTTTAAAATAACATGCTGTCTCGACATCTTCTTCAAACACTGACTCATCATTTTCACAACGCTGCAGGAGTCCCAGACCATGAAATAGTCAGATCCAGGGTTCAGACATGCAGAGTATCCTCTACATGAGCTGTTTTAAGGTGGAACTGTTGCGCCTCTATCACGTTTTGCCATTTAAATTTGACAGGAGTGAAACAAACACCAGAAATAGCAGCTTTAACTCCTGCCATGTTCTCGCTTTTGTTCTCTTCCCTGTGGAGCAGGAGCAGGAGTGTCAGCTGACTCGGGACATTGTGGATTTGATTGACAGGGAGGTGGACCTGTCGACTCGGGGGGTAAAAGCAGCCACTCTGGAGGGACTGAGGAAGAGGATCGCCACTCTGTTCCTGCAATTCGTCAAAACACCAAAATTTAACCCCAAGGCTGCCGGGCTGCTGAAGGTAAACCAAGAACCCTGCTGGTCTGGTTTTAATCTGTGGAAGTCTTAAAATCTGAACGTCACCCCGTTCCCCCCCAGGTTCCCCAGAATCCCTCCCAGCTGAAGAACAACATGTTTCATTGTCGGGGATGTCATCGCTACTTACAGTCCACCGACTTTGCGCCGACCGCCAGCGCCCGTCATAGCGGCCGGTGCAAACACTGCACCGGACTCGACAACATCGCCAGATCCCGCAACGACTTCTCCTGCTACAAAAACATCCTGAAGAGGCTGAGGGCGGACGAGCAGAAGACCAACGAGGAGGCCAAGATCCCCTTCCTGCTGCAGGTGGACTTCAGGTTTCTCTGTCTGCCTCACAGGTGGCTCTAATCGCATCGACCTGACATCTGCTGGTGTTTTCTCAGGTGGAGGATGTGAAATACTTGGTCGAGGTGATCTGGGAATCCCGCTCCGCCCTCCACGGTGGCAGCGACCTCTACAGTTTGATGTTTGTTCGCTGGGAGCGCCACAGAGACTGGAGCCCCTGGAACTGCATCCTGCTGTCCAAGGAGGAGACGTCAGCTCACCTGGAGGTGGAAGACGTCCACAAGGTAAAGACTCAGAACATCTTCAGCTTCAGTTTGTTATTTGTTTCACTCTGTAAACTCACCTCGCCCAGGAAAACCCGGGTTCACTTTGTTATTTCAGCTTTTATTTCCACCAGCTCAGGCAGTAAAGCTACTCCCTGTTCCTCCTGTCACTCACAACGCCGTGCATTTCTTCTGGGAGACTGTAACACCAATCGATGACATGCTGAGCACTCACTCGTGCAGACACTCCTGCCGGTCGTTAACCCTCCTCCTGGTGCTCCTCAGTTGGGTTTTACACCGTCTTTCTCACACAGAATTTAAAGTTCGGGCTTTTTTATTCCTCTCATTCTGAAAAATCTATGAAGGAGTCACTCCCTGCTGAGTGACAGGCTGACAACATTCAGGCGATCATAAATGTGATCGAATTTTCAGGCGCTCCCCGTCACAATCAGCCTGATACAAAATAGATCTGCTCTTCAGAGCGAGACACGGCTTTATTTTGCAGAACATGCAGCTGCTCCCTGCTCCTAAAAGAGACCCTGAGGTAGTTATCTATTAGAAGTTTTACGGTAATTAATTCTAATTCCCATCTGCTCACATCATGTTGGATGAGCAAGAGGCTTCAGGGACACTAACTCATACAAATTCAAAGGGAAAATCGGTATACTTGCTGCTGGTTCGACTTCCACCTGTTATTCCAGCTCTTTAACCGTCTCATCGACTAAAATAATCTCTAAAAATTTGATTTTTATCTGTGAAATCAGGGTGAAAATGAAACTCCGGCCTGCAGCCCCAGGCTCTTGAAAAAGTACTTTGGTGCTTTTATTTTGTTTTTATGATAATTGTCAAATTAAGACAAGAAAGTTCTCCATCTGGTGACCTCTTATAAATAATGGCGAGGAGGGTGGAATAAACTCAAGTAGTGGAGTAAGTTTTATTTTGTTGAAGCATCTCCCAGTTAGAGAAAGTTCCAGGAAGAATTTCAAAATAAAAGTCTTCAACTATCCGTCCTCTTGCTTTGTCTTAGAAAACCTGTTGTGGCGTTTTGTTTAGTCTTCTCTCTCTACAAGCGGCTCGTAAACTTTGGACTGCCACTGCTACTCAAACTGATCCTCTTTCTATGTGTGTGTGTGTGTGTGTGTGTGTGTGTGTGTGTGTGTGTGTGTGTGTGTGTGTGTGTGTGTGTGCGCGCGCGTGCGCGTGTATGTACAGACCTACGAGTCGACGTTCATCTGCAGAATCAAACACAAACACATGCTCGCTCGCCGACACTTCGGCCAGATCTCCGTCATGTCTGAGTACGTGGACTCTCAGCCACCCGCTGCCCTGGGCAACCAGCTTGTCTCCATGCCTATCGCCATGGCGACAGGCAAGCACGCCACTAACAGCACACCAGCCTCGGCTCATTAAGAACCACCCCATGGTTTTCCTTTCTTCTGTCCCCGTTTCCTCCCTCTGCCTGTCACTTTTGCTCTTAAAACATGAAGTCCGAAAATAAAATCAAGATGATGAATCTCTGACTAGTTTGACGACAAACATGTTATAATGAGAAGGCTTTATGTGGCAGGCCTTGAAATCAGTTAAGACAGCACAAAGACCTGATGGCTGTGAATGCCGTTTTCTTCTGATGTTTCTCCCTGGATAAATAAAGCTGACAAAAACTCTGCATTGAAAGCAGCATGGGTCCAGAGTCTCACAGTGCAGCGTTTACTCTAACACTTGCTTTATGCACACAGAACATTTACAGACTCAGGTCAGAATAAAAACAGCAGATTTAAACACACATTTATGGATCTTTACTGCTCCTAAACTGTGAAATAAACAGCTGTAACTTTTACCAGTTCAGGGAAATAATGCAATGAAGAATTAACGCTGACATTTCCTTTTTACTGTGTGCAACAGTCACCGGGAATCTGGCTAAACTGACACAGGTCAGCATCACTCTGCAGGTATTTTCTGAACAAGACTGCTGCAAGAAACCTTCAAGAAAACACACACAAACTCATGCATGAGGCATCAACTAAATGTAAATCTTCTTAGTGATGCTTCCAAGGTCAGGCCGTTGAGAGATGCTGTTATTTCCTCTACAGGTTTAGGGGCATGTAGTTTTATCATGAATCACACAGATGGATGGGACAATTTAACTGTGGGTTTGCATGATAATCGTGTGAATATACTTTGTGAGGAACGTGTCAGACTTTGAATAAAGTTGTTGGGTTGCTTTGACCTTTTAAACCTCTCATCCTTACTGTTGCACCGTCAGAGTAGATGGAGATGTTCCAGATTCCTTCACTTAAGATCGAACAGACAGAGTTTCTTACTGCTCTAAAAGTTCGTATATATTATCTGGAAGTCTACACTGTGAACCAGGTGTTATATTGGAGACGTCGACAGTTTTCCAAGGTCATACACTTATATTCTTATAAGACAGAAACATGCCAGGACAAATTTAACATATCTTTAATATTTTCCACAGTTACGAATGCAAAGATGGAAGAGCAGCTATATAAGTTGGCAAATACAGCTGTCGGTGAATTTTAAGTGGCTAGCAGTGGCAGTTTTAGCCCCCGATCTATTTATCTTGCAACCAAGCGTAAACCTCTGGTGTTAAAAATGAAGCTAGTATGGAAGTGTAAACAACCGCAGTTCCACAGGCGTCCACTAGAGGCTTCAAAAGTCGTGCACAGCCTGGTTCTGTACGACTTTGACTCATGCAGTTTGTGGAACGTTTAAGTACCCGGCTGTTTCCATGTCAGAGAAGCTTTCATTAAGTTTGGGGATATTATCTCAAAGTTATTCAGGATTCTGATCAGACAGATCTTGTGAAACTTTGAGCGCAGTGTTGATAATGCTTGTTAATATCTTTGGTTGTTAACCAGGTACACTCAGTACTTGCACATTTTTATGTTTTGTGTAAGGAACTTTTTACCATCAAATTATTTCCAGACAGGAGAGTACACATCCTCAGTCCATCCTGGTAAGTTTTTACAAGAGTGATATTTGTGCATTTTGATATTCTGAGCTTGAGCAGATGATTCAAGGTCATAAAAGGTTTAAGCCACTTTTTACAGCCCTTCTCAGGACTTCAAGATAAGGAGTTAAAGTATACCTTTTCTGAGAATGACCTCCAGACGCTCATGTTTATCTGATTGTGCGCCGCCGACTAAAAGACAAATGTAAGTGCTTTGTTTTTCTTCTTTCTGTTTATTTTTCCTCCTGTGATGTTGGGGTTTTAACAGCAGTGACGGGTGCAGATGCTTTTTCACCAACAAAGAGCCAGTAAGGTAAGGCTTCTCACTCTCATTTTCACTCTGTTTACATTGCCCTACACCAACAGGCCTTATGGCATGCTCCAGGATGTTCTGGGAAAAGATTTGGATTTCATCTGAATTGCTGAATGTTCGATAGATTATTGTCATATACTCAAAATTTAAAAAACTCAAAACTTTTGGATTTTATCTGAGTATTCAATCATAATACATCATGTTTTTTCCTATCTGGGAGCTTTTTTTTGTCAAGCTACAAAGCGTCTCTGCTAAAACTCATTGCACCCAAGTGTCATTTATTCAAACCTGTCGTCCTTTAAATTACATTTAAGTGAAAATGCAAAACATGCGAGGCTGACATTTGAGTACATATCTGACATTTTTCATGCACATGTAAGGCGTATGCATAGGCTTTAAAATCGCCTGAATGGTTGCTCAATACCTCGTGAAATGCACTCAGGGGTCACTCATGTAAACTAAACCCAGTGACTTCTGTCAGGTTCACTTCAGGGACTTTAAGGACATAACATGATTAATGATACACAGCTTTTTTCTTCTTTAAATTTCATCCAGTTAGAAATGCATTTACAAACCATTCAAACATATGCTTGTGCTTCTTCTAGCAGCTTGTTTGAAGATTTAAAGCTCCTGTAAGTAGTTTTTTAACAATAATAAAATATAGACTGAAAATCATTTTGATGCCTTTTCATGATATCCTGAAGCTAAGAGGACTATCAGCTGCAAGATTGGAGATTAGGGCATTAAGTATGTAATGATATAAGAGGAAATAAACAATACAATACAGTCTTTTGCTCTGTGGAGGAAATGAAGTAGAATAATGTCATCAACTTCACCGTACTGAATCATGAAATAGTGACACAGTGACTCCAGTCTGTTTAAAGAGCTAAATTTGGCCTCAGTGATCATTGTAAGTCAGGACAGCAGCGTGTGCCTACTCTCAGTGCCTGTGAAGCTTTGGAGAAAGATAATGAATCCAAATTAAACCAATCAAATAGAAACATATCAAAGTATAAAACTCTCCCTTTAAAGTACCAGAACTTTGAGATTCTGCCGCTTTATCTTCCCACTTTTGTTTTTCTGCAGATATCACCAACAATGAATAACCAGCTTTGATACCTGCCTCCTGAAGACTCCTGCAGATATGAATTCATAGCCGACAACTGTGTCAGGCCGAAGTCACTCAAGGCCAGTCCGTCAGCTCTATGATAAGTATGGGCTTTGGTCCAGTCCCCTAACAACCCCAGGATTACAGCAAGAACCTGCAGAGGAGAAGGGAAAGAAAAATGCTGCAGAGTTTGTGGAACTATCGCAGAGTCTTCCTGATTGTCCTCACACCACTGCTGCTGCTTCCTCTTCCTGTTGTCATCGGGACAAAGTTGAGTCTTTTTATCACGCCAGACCAAAGCATGTAAACCATATGAACAAAGTTTATGAAACAAAGTACAAAAAGTTATTTTAAACTGATAAATTTACTGTTGTGTGTCTCTGTTATGGAGAGTCAATTGTCTGTGTGGTTTGTCCCTGCAGGAGTCAGAATGTGCCTTCGTGTTGCTGCTGATGGCGACGTTCTGGGTGACAGAGGTAATTCCTCTGTCTTTGACCGCCATGCTCCCCGCCGCCCTCTTCCCCATGTTTGGGATCATGAAGTCCTCAGATGTGAGTCCATTCATGAGTCTGTGAGCAGATGGAGCTTTTCTGAAATATTGTATATAAGTGTTTGCTTTAAATCTGTCCTCCAACTTTTTCAACTAATAAATATCTTACATCTGGAAATCTATCTCGCCAACAGTTGGCTAAAGTTTTTAAGCTACGATGTTGGTAGAATAACTAACTAACTTACTAAAACCAAATAATTTGACTTACTAACTAATTTACTGTCGAAAGAACAAACAAACGGAAATACTGACTAGCTAACATAAAGAAATGCTAACTAACTAATAAGATAACTAACTCACTCACTCACTCACTCACTAACTTACAAACTAACTAGCTAACTAACTCATTAACTATCTAGTTAACTAACTAACTTACAAACTAAGTAGCTAACTCACTAACTGACTTACAAACTAGCTTATTAACTCAGACACTAACTATTGTTACTGGCTTTCTCACTCGTCACTTTGAAACTACCTATGTGTGACTAACTTCCAATGTTTCTCTGACTAACCACCTAACGAACTATCTTTCTTACATTCTACCTTACTAACTGACTCAATAACTTACTAGCTGACTAAATACAGACTAGTTAATGTACAGGCTGGAATGCTAACTAGCTAACTAGATAACTAACTCACTAAATAAATTACAAACTAACCAGATAACTAACTCACTAATTGACTAGCTAACTAACTTACAAACTAACTAGCTAACTAACTCACTAACTAACTATTGTTACTGGCTTTCTCACTCATCACTTTGAAACTACCTATGTGGGACTAACTTCCAATGTTTCTCTGACTAACCACCTAACGAACTAACTTTCTTACTATCTACCTTACTAACTGACTCAATAACTTACTAGCATGCTTAAAATAAAATAATTCTACTAACTGACTAACTCACTTAATAATGAACAGGCTGAAATGGCTTGAAAAACAAATTCATTGACCAACTAACTAACTAACTGACTAACTTAAAAAATCTATAACTAACCAACTAGCTAATCACTTACCAACATGGTGGAAAATGAACTAAAAAGCCAAATAACTCTACAGCAAACTAACCAATTTATAAACTATCTGAATGACAGACTTACTAACAAATGACTTGATAACTACCTTCTTACCTTCCTACCTGGTCAACAAACTTTCTGCCAACCTACCAATCTGCTTTTCCTCCTAACTTACTAGCTTACTAAGTTAGTTATAGTTTGATTGAAATCAATAATGGCATTTTTTAAAAACCTCAATAATTAACCAAAGTGTGATCTTTTCATGACTTATTTAGTTTTTGATCTTGTACAATCTTGTTTTTAGTAGAGACTGATGTCAGTTAAAAAGCAGTTAGTGAATGATAATATATATTTTTTTTTAACTTTTCTGTCAATGACTTTGTACTTTCACACCTGAATTTTCCTTGTTACTTCCTCACTGTTTCCCCTGCAGGTGGCGAAGGAGTACTTCAAAGACTTCCACCTCTTGTTGGTAGGCGTCACCTGTCTCGCCACGTCCATAGAGAAGTGGGGTCTCCACCGCAGGATCGCCTTGAGGCTGGTCACCATGGTGGGAGTTAACCCTGCACTGTGAGCGACAGGCTTCTTTCTCACAGAACTCAGATTTTCCTCACAGAGGGATTTGTTTTTTGTTTTTTTCAGGGGTGGGGGCTTTTTTATGTTCTTGTTTTTAATCTCTATGCTGGGAACATTTTCAAAACTCATCTGGGTTAATTCTGCCACTGAAAGCTCCTGTGAGGAGATTTTATCTGATGATGAAACAGACTGAAACTGACACTGACACGCCTTTATGGTGGACAGAACAAACCTGTATCAGCAGACCATCAGAGAGAACAGAGACTCCAGCTGTTAAATCATTTTACATGCCTGACATCTCTGCAGGGTGAGGCTATGAATGCATGCAGGAGTAACAGCCTTTCATAGATTTCAGAGGATCAGGGACTCTAAAGGTGAATCAGGTCACGTACCGGGTCATGTTTGGACCGGTTTCTTCACTAACTTTCCTGCTGTGATCTTCAGGTTGATGTTGGGCTTCATGTCCGGCTGTGCATTCCTCTCCATGTGGGTCCAAAACACCTCAGCTGTTACGATGGTGATGCCCATTGTGGAGGCTGTTCTCCAGCAGATCCTGAAGGCCAGTGAGGGCAGAGGTGCTGGTGAACACAACCCCAATTTGCAGCTTGATGGTACTTGGATTTACTAATAATTCTGATAATTAGAGAGAGTATTTTATTTTGACCCAAACCCCTAAAATACAAAAAAAGGTTTTATTGTGTTTGTCTGTAACACGGCAGTTAATTTTTCCTTTAAATCAGACTGGACTCAACCTTAGAGGATTTCTTACTGAAATATGTCCATAGAACCCAGAAGAGTTTCACTGAATCCATCACGATCAACAGTTAGCAACTGAGAATCATTTATCAAACGTGCTGCTGTTGGTTTGGGGAAGCTGAGTAGGTGATCCACAACAGCTCCTGTCACAACAACCCCCCCTCAAGGCCCGTGTGGGTGAAAGGAAAGAAAGAATCAGAAGTAAAAGGGTGGAAGGAAGGGATGCAGAACGAAAGGAATGAAAGGGAAGGAGAGGTGGAGGTTTGAATTTTTAGAAGTGCTGGAAGAGGAACTGTTGATGGTCATGCTCCTGAAACCTTCACTTCATATGTTTGATGATACAAACAGCTTCACAGCTGAGTCTATGAGTCTGTTTGGTCTGGGTTTTTTTTTAGAATCTGACGGCCAAGTTGATAATATTGAAGAGGACATGAGGTATGTGGAGCTATGATTTTAAGTGTCGCTCTCACTCTCAGAGTTTTAAATAAAATATTCTGTATTTGTTGTGGTGCCTTCACTGTTCCATTGGACTCTGGAGTGTTTCAGTGCAGTAGGCGTTAGTACCATCGTGGTTTGTCTCTCAGGGACCAGAAGCATCTCGATGTTCCTGAAGAAACCTTCACTATGCAGATACAGACAGCAACTCAGCCTGGCACAGTTCAGGTAAACAAACACTGATGCATGAAGTGGCATGTCCTTCGCCCAGGCTCCCTACTTACTTGTTCCTCTTTACCATTATTAGGAGGAATATTAGCCGTACAATGAAACTTCCACTAAAGCTGCTGCTCGCTAGTGATTCCACCCTCTTTGTTGTCTTGCAGGTTGCTGCATGTCAGCCTGCAGCCCCCAGCAGGAATAAACGAGACCTGAGGATTTGTAAAGCGATGTGCATCAGCGTCGCCTACTCCTCCAACATCGGAGGCATCAGCACGCTGCCGGGCACTTCGCCCAATCTCATCTTCTCTGAGTACCTCAACCAGTGAGTGCTGCGCCTGACATGCTGGGTGAATGGGTGTGAAACAAAAGAGACATCAAATCAGAGGGAAGGACAATAACAACAATACAAAAAGAGACAGAAAACACAAAACTCTGCCAAAGCTTTGAAGCAGCATAAAAAAATAACTCACTTTTCTAACTTCACCCTCAAATCCAGGATTTACCCAAACTGCAACTGTGTCAACTTTGGGAACTGGCTGCTGATGTGCTTACCCATCAGTGTGATCATGCTGCTGCTCACATGGATATGGCTGTGCTGGCTCTTCATTGGCTCAGAGTGAGTCTCAACACTTATTCGTTTTACATTTTGGGCTCCAGTTAGGTGGTCTTTTATTTCCCTTCACATTATTCAAGACAGGAATAGCCGAATTACTCTGTTTGGATTAGATCCCTCTGAATGAATCATGATTGTAATTCTGATGTCAGTGTTAGTGGTCTGATTGTGTCAGAAAGGTCAAATACAACCACAGGTTGTCACCCCACTGTGTGCTTTTACCCAGTCGTGGTTAATCATGCGCCTCACTGTGACCATTTCTCCGCCTCCCATCAGTTATGAAATTACGAACACACCCTCACTCTCTCTCTCTCTCTCTCTTTTACACACTAACAGCTTCAGGTTCCTGTGGAGGTGTGGAGGAGAGAAGACTGAGAGAGACAGAGCGGCCAGGAGAGTCATAGAAGAAGAGTATAAATCACTGGGACCTATGAGGTGATCACGCAGTCGTTTTATATTTTCATTTAAATCTTGTCCAGTCCATTTATTTAAGTATGTGCTGTATTGTTTATCAGTTTTACATCATTCCCACACTCAGTAATTAGACTGTGCACCGAGGACTTTCTCCAGCCTCCAGTCACTGATGACAGAGGCTGCAGCATAAGCACCCATCAATATTAACTAATCCTGTAGAGCTGCACACTCTTGGGTGCAGCCAGCAGGAGCAGTTTGGGGTTAAATGTCAGGCCTGAGGAGAGTTCAGTAAATAAACACTCAATCATTTATTTTTTATTTTCTGTTCTGCACTTCTATAGTTTTTACACCACTGTTTAATTATTTAATTGCTTGGTTATACTTAATCATAAATCAGATTAATTATGAGGTTTTCTTACTCTCTTATATTTGATTATCTGTCTTTTGCTGATAAATGGTATACTCATCATTTATAAAACAGGATCCAGTCACATCTAACTTTTAAATCAAATTCCTATTTCTGTTGGATAAGAAATGCCGTCATGTGTCTATTGATTAATTTGTGTTAATTTTCATAGTTTATTATGGTTTATTATTTGTAATTCAGTTTGATTTTTATTTTATATCTCTTGGTTAATGTATTTTAATTTTTTAAGGTAATTTTATATATTTATAAATCCAGGACAGTTTAATTTGAACTTGTTTTAATTTATTTAATCTAATTTCTTATTATTTGTGATAATATATTTATTTAATTATTTTATATTTCTATTACATTTGAATTAAGAAATCATTTGAATTAATGATTTTTTATGTTTTGATTTTAATATTAATTCTATTTAATTTTATTTCACTTTATTTCATCTTTATTCTTTTAAATTTATTAACTCTGTTTTCTTTTAATAATTTTTTATCTTTTTATTCAATTTGATTTTTTTACTTTATTTTGTTTTTATTTTTCCCCCCACATCATTTTATAATATTTTTTGTTATTTTTCATTTGAATTTATTTAATTTTTCTTTTTTTGTTTTTTTTTAATTTGGTTTGAGTTTAATATTTCATGTTTCTTAGTTCTTTTTAATTTATTCATATTTTTATCTTATTTTAAAATTAAAAATATTTAATTTTATTAATTTTACAATAAAAAAATATATAATTAAAATTTTTATCCGGAGTATAGAGGAAAATACAACATTTTCATACAGATATGATCAAAGTGTGTGTTGTGGCTTTATAAGAGGAAATAGAGTGTCTGATTTTTACCTGAAAGTGCAGATATGAACTTAAGCTATGAAAAAAAGAAATGACAGAATACTTCAGCACTCCTTCACTGTTTTCACTGTTCTTCATTGAATCATTCATTCTGATGTATGTCCTCCTCCCTCTCTCTCTCTCTCTCTCTCTCTCTGTCTCTCTTTCTCCACTCAGTCCTCAGGAGATCTTCACTGGGATAGTGTTCCTGATGATGGTGTTGTTGTGGTTGACCAGATCTCCTGGTTTCATACCGGGCTGGGCTTCCTTCTTCCCTGGGTGAGTCAGTTTTTGTTTCACTGGAGTTTATTTTGGGGTTACATCAAAAACACGGCTCACACAAACACTCAACACTCAGCTCCAAGCATGAGTCAACCTGCAGCTGATAAAACAATAAAACTAAAACAGTGAAGATCCTCCTGTAGGAGTGCTGGGTGGTCAGGTATTTTAGGGAATTAATGAGCCTATTTTAAATACCAAAGTTTACTTCTGGATTACTCTTTAAAACCCTCACAGGAACCATCGTCTAGTCTCAGAATCATGTTGATATTGTATGTGCAGTAGAAGGCCTTGAACAGGCTGGAGAAAATCCTGGTTTATATAATTTCTCTGTCTGTGTTTGGAGCAGTCACTCAGGCTTCATCACTGACGCTACAGTGGCTCTGCTGCTGGGACTCCTCTTTTTCATCGCACCTGCCTACGGACCCTCGATGAAGTATGGTAAATATAGAATAAAGTTTGGCAGGAGGAGTCCTGGTTACATCCACCTCAGCACACAGAGAAGTGAATTCACCCATGTATTTAAAAAGCTATCATATATTCAACATTTACCTCTCTTCTTCCAGAGACCATGATCTCCTGGACAGACTTCCAGACCTCCATGCCGTGGAAAGTCGCCCTGCTGGTTGGTGGAGGCTTTGCACTCGCTGAAGGAACAGAGGTGGGCACCGTCTCCCCTCCCCATATTGACTAGTACTGGTTGATTGGTCATTGATCATGTTACGTGTGTGTCTGCAGGTATCAGGACTATCATTGTGGGTCGCTGAGCTGCTCACACCTCTGGGCGACCTGCCCGTCTTAGCCACAATCACAGTGGCGTGCATTATTGTCACCATGGTGACAGAAGTGGCCAGCAACGCCGCCACCATCACCATCTTCCTCCCCATTCTCTCTCCTCTGGTGGGTCCACAGTTTTGAACCCTTGGCTCTTAAAAACTGTATTTTTAGTTGCTATGTCGGTGCATCACTGGGCTGCAGTGGTCTCCCTCTGGTACTCCAGCTTCCTCCCACAGTCCACAAACGTGCTCATTAGGTTAATTGGTGTAGGTCTGGGAGTGAGTGTGGCTGCTTGTTTGTCTCTATATGTCAGCCCTGTGATTGACTGGCGACCTGACAAGGGCACCTTCTACCCAAAGCAGCTGTGATTGAGTGAAAAGACTTATTAAAATTGAACCTCTCCTGGAGTAAAGCATAAACAAGCAGTTATGAGTGTGATGTAAAAATTGCAGATTGTTCGAAAGATGGATGACAGTCCCTGTTTGATAACAGCTGGTATCAAATGAGGGAGAATATTTCTGTTTGTGCGATTTATCTCTCCAGGCTGAGGCCATCCACGTTAACCCGCTGTACGTCCTCATCCCCACCACCCTCTGCACATCCTTCTCCTTCCTGCTGCCAGTGTCCAACCCTCCCAACGCCGTCGTGTTCGCCTACGGGCACATTGACATCCTGGACATGGTGAGTCCAATGTCACATGCACAGAAAGCCAGCAGATAACAGTGTATTTCTAATGTCTGTTTGCTGCTGCAGGTGAAGGCAGGACTTGGTGTCAATGTGATTGGCGTTCTCGCCACTCTGTTGGCCGTGTCAACATGGGGAGTTCCATTATTCTCACTGGATACGTACCCTGATTGGGCGCCACACCTCCCTGGCTTTAACTCTACCATGCCATGACAAAGAATGACCTCCATGTGGACCTCAAACTGCTTCAACTGAAGTAGGAGTCAACATGTTGTGAGATAAACATGAACTTTGCAACAGTTACAATAATATTAAACCTGAGGCAAGCAGCGATCCAGAGGGACCTACAGCATGATGGAGCTCAGGGACTCCCAGAAAAGACTGGCTTTAACGGGACATGATGATTCAGAGTTAGGAAGATGGAGAAGGAGGGAAAGGTGCTCAGTGGACCAATCTGAACCTACAGCAGCATAGCTAAAATCTGGCCGTGGTGCAAATCAAGAATTCAACTGATGCAGATGCAGTTTCAGTCTCATAAACACGTGTCCATTAAGTTCCATGATCCTGTCATAATAAAATTTTTGTTGCATTGTGATGATTTTAATTCTTTCCACATTGAAAACAGAAGTTTTATCATTTGGTTTTAAAAAACAAAAGAAAAACACTGACCTCTGGTGGCCACAGTGTCTTCAAAGTTTCTGAGTGCAGCTTTTTGTTTTTTATCTGTTGGCCTGCTGAGTAAACATTGACTGTACTGAAGTGAAACCAGAGCTCTGTGCTATAACCTCCTCCTGCGTGACAGACTGATGCTCACTTTTTAAGAGTAACGTCAATCCAACCTTATAGTGACGCTGGAGGCAGGAGTTCATGCTGAAATTTTGTCTTTATTTTCCAAACATTCATAAATACAAACAGACATGTGTCCCTCTTTTTTTTACAATATGTAACAGTCAATGAGAAAGTTGATAAAATAATCTGTGTAGGAAAGTTTAAGTTTCAGGACAACTGTTTACACATATAGGTCAATTTTGATTTTTAAAAAAATTGCTTAATGCAATCTCTTTCTTGTCACATACATTTAAATTTAAATCTACCACTAATAAATCAGTTTTTCATTTTTTAATTTAATTTGTGTATTTCTCAAAAAATTGACGATTAAATGTTTTCCAACTGTGAACAAAATTGTGCTAAAATCACCTGCTGTGTCTGTCGCTGGTTTTCCATTTTGAGATCTTTGGTGGACTGTAAGTGTCAAAGATTGTTTATTCAGGAAGAGGTATCACATAGAGGGTTTAAAAAAACACCAATCAACCAATCATCACTTACCAAATAGTTTAAAGCGAGTTTTATACACTTGTACTTATGGAAGAGAAACAAGACAACAAAAATTCAGAATATTTACAAAGTTTATTATATTTTTGATCTCATTTTCGCAAAAGGAGAAGACTTAAGGGACGTAGAAGTCAGGATTAAAACCCTGCACATTGGGTTATCTTAAAGCCTGAATACTGGTAACTAGATTTTACACTAATGATTTATAGGTGAACCCACAAACAGCCCACTTGCCAAAAGAACACACACGTCTGTTTACACGGTGAAATAAAAGGTTATCTCGGCATAATGTGGTTATTTCAGACCGACATTAGCAAAGTGTTTTGTGGTAATTGGAGTCCGCACAGAGTGAGACCTCTCCCCATTGTTCCCATCTCTGGCTGCTACAGCTACAGGTTGCTCACCTGTGTGCTGGAGCGCACACAGAGCGCACGAGCCGTGTGCTGTCATTCCAGAGCACTCGTTCCATGCCTTTGATGCAAAGGAACGAAGCGCACGCGGACACTGCCTCCGAACGTTAACCGTTAAAACCCCGCCCACCCCTCGTCGAAGAAACTAACCGACATTCCAGTGAAGCGCAGCGCCGACCGGAGCGGGAAAAAAAACACCGACGGTTTTTGTAAAGTGAAAGCCGTTAACGCCACGTCGACTAAAACCAACAAAACACGCTCCAACAGTTGTTTCTTTCCTTCTTTTTGGAACCCCGTCGGTCGGAACCGGAGTTTTGACGTTTTAAATCATGCTGGACCCGTCCTCCAGCGATGATACCGGCGGGGAGTCAGACCCAGAAGTTGTCCAGGAGGCTCCGAGGAGGGCGGCTGGCTCCTCGGCGGGGAAACGGGGGAGCAACAGCAGCAGAGCGGGCGGCCAGAAGCGTCAGTCCGCCGCACCTGGAGCTGCTCCCGGGAAAGGTGCCAAAGACAACGGCGCTACAGGTGAAGAAGAGGAGAGGAAGGAGAGGGAGCGGATCCAGAAGGAGGAAGAGGAGAGGAAAATTAAACTGCAGATTTATGTGTTCGTCCTGAGGTGCATTGCATACCCGTTTAACGCCAAGCAGCCCACAGACATGGCCCGGCGGCAGCAGAAGGTGAGTCTGCCGCACACTGAAGGCGCATTCACCTGTTGTCTGAAACAGATGGACCATTATCACCAACGTCCATAGAAATTATGTTGAATTAAACCTCTCCCTCCAATGTGGCTATAAATCCGTTCGAAAAAACGGAAACTTTAGAGCTTTCTTGAATGATAAGGAGCTACTTTTCAATTCGGCTTATGAATTACCAACCTCTTTTACTCATCTTTCCGAAATAGTTTCTTTTCTCTTCCATTCTCCTGTTGCTTCCACCCTACTGCCGTACTTAAACGCTCACAGTATGGCAGCGGTCACCATTGTGGCCAAGCTGTAAAATCGGATCTTCTTTCCACAAAAGCACCAGAATGTGTTTACAATTTTAGCCGAATTCACCACCCACTTAATATATTTTATTTCAGGTCATTTAGTTGTTTGTGTTCAGTGTATATTCTTTGTACGGTTCATGCAAACCGAAATTGAACCAAATAAGAATGGGATCTGGTTTTGAGGCAAAAACATGTTAAGAAGCCAGGAGTTTTCAGCATATTTTCATTGTAGGTGTTTGAACTGCAAAGACAAGTAACATGCAAATCTGTAACATCATTATAAAAACAGTCAAACAATGTTATTAGAGCATGAAGCTCTAACATAACAGTGGTTTGGATGAAAGCCCATTGTAGGTAGACATTATATTTCTGTGAAGTTTAGAAACCCTCCCCCTGCACTTTGTTTTTACTGACTGTAATCCTGGTTTAATCTGTAGTTGTGCCTTTGGCTGTAAAAGCAAACCTTAAAAAGATGTAAACTGACATTTCTCCTCTCTTAAAATGTCTTTCCACATGAAAGTTTCTTCTCCAGGGTGACGTAAAAAGAACCACAGCTCCATTTGCTGAAATAACTGTTTATTTTATACCTCACAAGGGGCTGGCGTGCCTCTGCATTCAATCCGAGTTGTGCTCTTGTATCCTTCTGCGGTTTTTGTTTTGGTTGTGTTGGATTACAGCGTGTATTGCAGGGCTGTCCTTGGCTGTGCAACATTCAAGGGCCGTTCAGACGATTTGGCGAATAGCTCTCTCTGGGTTTGCCCATGTTAGATTCAGATGAATGCGTTTTTTGCAGGCTTCTTCTCAGAGGAGGATGGCTCTGCCTGAACCCACTGTGTTCTCCCATGCCGCTGGGGAGCTTGTTAATGAGGGTCTCATGGTGCTTAATTTCAATAAGCAGACGAGGCATTTCCATTCATTTTATTGGTGCGTGTGTGAGTGAGAAATCTCCTGACAGAAGGCATACGTGGGAGTTTATTTGTGCACAAGTGTAAGTTCAGAATATTAAACCCATGTCACTTTAATTAGACAGAAATTGGAGATCCAGCAGCCCCCTCCCTGAATTTTCATAGTCACTCCATCTGATGCTACAAGTCGTACTTCTTCTCCCTGCGCTAATGCATGAACAGACTTTGAATGCATTAAAAGACCGGAGGGGAAAGTGGCATCGATTTTCTCGTGTCACATGGGGGAAGTGGAGTTCCCTGGTGGGCGGTGGCAGTAGACTGCCTGTGTGTGTATGTGGTGGGTTGGCAGTTAAAATCCCATGACTCTCTCTCTTGGCAGATTGCTCTGACTCGCTGCATGATGGAGAAATCAATAATTGAGGATAGTGGTTTCATCTGCAGAGGAGGTCATCAAAGTAAAACCTGATGACAGGGAGCCGATCTGAGAACAGCCATGACATGTTCACACAGCTCAGACAGGTGAGGCACTGATACAGCCCGGAGGATCGGTATCAACACTTTCCGCTAAGTGGATCAATTATTTGCCCGACCTGAAAGATCAGCACTTAAGTTTTCAGCAATGCCAATTCAGCAAGTGTGGCTCTGATTAGCAGATCTGGAACCGCTGGAGTCTGGTCCCCGTTGCAGGCTCTATATCCACATACATAAGCGCATGCTACAACCTAATTTGATCTAGAAAATGGAGATGAAATTCCCTTTTGTCTCAGCTGTAAAGTTGTATTTTTACAGTAGTTTACACTTTGCTAATCCAAGCTTAAAAAGGTTTCAACGAGCCGGCTTTGGGTCGCAGTTGATTCCAAGTATTTGTATAAAAAATACAGAAAACGAAGCGATAACAGTTAACTCTAATCCGAACTTAGTGAGTCAGTGAGGTTTGGTAGCACTGCACAGAAAGTTTTTTCAGCTGTTGGTTTCCTGCTGGTTGCCATGGCTCCGGAGGCGGAGTTAATGATGCAAGCAGGTGCTTAGCGTTAGCCCACGCTCACGCTCAGCTTTCAGCGCGGTTCACTCCGGGCTCCACGATTTCTACTCACCTCGGGGCTTCACCTCCCGGAAAAAACACATTAGAGATCACGCTGGATGTTTTTATGAGGGGAGAGAAATAAGAAGAGCGTTTTCTGTTTTTCTTTGAGACTGCATGTCGAGAGACATGTCAGGGAAAGCAAATCAGAGAAGGTGAAATACAACCCCGAAGGAGGTCGTGGTGTCAGCTCCAAAATTACAGCTCAGGAAAATGAGAGTCACACAACAGAGCGTTGAGTTCGCTCTTGTTTTTGTGTTCAGAGAGGAGGAAGAAGAAAACACTCGGCCCGGCTCTAAGTTAAGTTTAATTTTTGAAGAGAGACTTCCAACATGCCTTTTTTTAATCTAATGCACTCCCATTACAACCAAGGTCCTCTTGACACACTCTCTTTCCACTTCCTGTTTGCTGTTTAGCACAATTATATCTCTGCAGACTTAGTAAGGATCAGAGATACCTCACTCTTGTACTTTGGCATGGTTTGGCAGTATTTAGGT